CTCACTGCCCAATGGTCCTGAGTGCCGAGCAAAGGTCAAAATTAGCAGCTCTCCACCGTCTCCATATGAGTGAAGAATTCTCGAGAGGGACGTTAATCAACAAACAAAAATCATCAGGTGCTGTGTAGCGTAGTGGTAAATCTCAAGGGAAAATGATATTCAGGATTTTTATTGTTAGGATTCGAACCCCACATTTTTTAAAGAATAATTTTTGCCGAGAAATTTTTTTCTCGGAAAAGTTTTGTTCATCATAATTTCATAAATTTCAATGAGAAATTTACTCTAAACACTAAATTCACAAAAAAATATGATTTTTGAAGCTATAGGCGTTCTGCACGCCTTGTTCACCTATCATCTTTTAATAGCTTATTAGCTAATTTAAATAATAATTTAAATAGCTAATTTGTCCGAACAAATATCTTATTTTTCCAAACAAATATCTTACTTGTCCGAACAAATATCTTTACTTGTCAGAACAAATATCTTCTCCGAACAAATGTCTAATTCGTCCGAACGAATATCTGATTCCTCCAAACAATTATCTAAAGGAGATGGGTGAACAAGGCGCGCAGAATGCCTATAGCTTCAGATAAAAAAAATCATAATCAATTTGTGAATTCAGTATTTAGAATAAATTTCTCATTATTGAAATTTATGAAATAATGATAAACAAAAACTTTTCTGAGGTAAATTTTCTCGGCAAAAATTATTCTGTTATCTAAAAAACATAGGTAATCAAAGATTACGAAGCTCACCTCGACGAAGGTTATCTATAAGTAAGGCAAATTTCACTTCATATTTTTTCTAGTTAGTGTTCATCTCAAGATCAATATCCATACAAGTTTGGTTTAAGAAGGACTTAAAGTTACTTGGAAATAGACCTGCTCAAAAAACTAAACCTGTTTACTAATCAAGAAAATTTTGGTCAGATCCAACATCCAAAGCAAGTCTTGAAATTTTCATCCTTAGATTCACCATCCATGCAAGTTTTATCATAACATGTCATAATATTATATAGCTACTTCAAAAACATTACCCTGGTCACTCATCTGGAAAATGTAGGTCAGATTCAGAATCCAAAACAAGTCTGAAAGTGTCCATCCTAAGATACATCATCCATGCTAATTTGATTAAAATGTGGCTAAAATTCACTCATCTGGAAAAACTAGGTCAGATTCAGCATCCGAAGCAAGTGTGGTAGTGTCCATTTCTAGATGCATCATCCATGCAAGTTTGGTTCAGGTAGGGCTTATAGTTACTTGGGAATGGAACTGCTCCAAAAACTTTAACCTGGTCACTCATCTGGAAAATCTAGGTCAGACCCAGCATCCGAAGCAAGTGTGGTTGTGTCCATCCCTAAATGCATCATCCATGCAAGTTTGGTCCAGGTAGGGCTTAAAGCTACTTGGGAATAGACCTGCTCCAAAAACTTTAACCTGGTCACTCATCTGGAAAATCTAAGTCAGATCCAGCATCCGAAGCAAGTGTGGTAGTGTCCATCCCTAGATGCATCATCCATGTAACTTTGGTCCAGGTAGGGCTTATAGTTACTTGGAAATGGTAGGGCTTATAGTTACTTGGGAATAGACCTGCTCCAAAAACTTTAACCTGGTCACTCATCTGGAAAATCTAAGTCAGATTCAGCATCCGAAGCAAGTGTGGTAGTGTCCATCCCTAGATGCATCATCCATGCAAGTTTTGTCCAGGTAGGGCTTATAGTTACTTGGGAATGGACTGCTTAAAAACGGGTTTTCAAACATGGCTATCGGTTTCATGATCATTACAGTAAATTCTTTTCTATTTGCATCATTCCAGTTGTATGTGTCATTTAACGGACATTCCAGGGATAAAAAAGGAGAATAGTAGGATGATCAAACATGTTTTTTGAGACTGTGATGATACTCTCTTAAAATGGTTTTAGTTTGATGAAAAATTCTTTTCTTAAAAGAAAATGGGGGCGTATTTGTCATGTATGTCATCTGCAAGAATCGTGTTAACGAATCATTCAAAGTGTAAATGTTCAGTCAAGCAGACGATTTGATTGGCTGACCACAGCTGAGCAGACTTTTTGAAAGTGACGCACATAAGAAAATGGTACATTCCACTGTAATACTCCCCCCCCCCTCCCCCCAAAAAAAGTCTACTTATCTTAACAGTTACGGTATCCTATTACCACTTCTCATAATTAATAAACAGCCTGCAGATAACAGGGCATATCGAAATGCAAATGTATTAAAATTTTAGTGAGTGGGAAGAATTACTTTCGTTCTCAGTACAACAAAATAAAGTGTAACGTTATTCTAAAATTTGATAGATCAGTAGATAAAATCAAACTGGCAAACGACTCGAGCTTTAAAAAATATAAACGCTCCATGCGAGGATCGAACCAAAACATCGATTTCTCATCGTCATGGACAGATAAAATATTCATGCACCACTGTGCTATCGTTGAAATATGCTCAAAAGGTTTTTAAAACGACAATGAAGCAGCGTTTCTACACAAAGTTGCTTTTTTTTTCTTTTTTCTTTTTTAGAAAAAGTTCAATTGTAGGGTTTCTGGGTCTTTTCTTCATTTCTTTTTACAAATGTTTGCGCGTTTCTTTGAGTTAAAATGACTCAAATAACGTTTTAAAATTTTAGAGAGATGAACCAGAGATAGAAAAGTTATATATAAGAACGTGTTTATAAAATGCAATATTTTGTACTACATGACGCGTCTATCCATGTTTCAAGTCAAAAATCGGGAATATATTTCTCTTTCTTATACACAGAAACCCAGTAGAATGCAAATATATCATAATGTGTCTATGAATTTTTCACTTTTTAAGTGCACCCAGATTCCTGCCAAATCCAATCAAATGCGTCCTCATTCTTTTATGTTTATATTATTTATTATATTTAATTTTTTTCTTACCTTTTGCTGACGTTGGTTCAGTGTTTACCACTTTCATCTTGGACATGAACTGGAAGTTGGTTTGATTTGTGAAAACGTACTCTAGAATAACACGTTTTGAAGATCCTGGAGTACTAGTTGATGGAGGATTGAGGAAATGGAAACTCATTTTGATTCCTATCTGTCAGGCTACAAAATGTGCATCAACATGTAATTTACAAACTTTGAGAATGGTAATGAGTGACAATTTAAAGATTTCTTTTATAAATTTAGATAAGAAGGGTGAATAAATGGCTAGAATAATCAAAGTTATGTACATTCATTTTCTGCATTATAGAATTACAAGTGGATCTTTAAAAAAGGGTGTGAGGGGAATTATTGGAAAGAGGAGAAATATTCTTAAATCATTAAAATCACATCATATTTTATCAAACAGCTGCTAGTATCAAAACTACTACAAGTCTCTTTCATATATCCCTTTCCAATTACATTGAGTGGCTTTATCATGTACTTTTTGTTCTAGGTGAAACTAAAATTAGATTCGACGAACGTATTACGTTTCTGAAGATGTATCACAGAACTTCTTAGAATAATGGATCGCTGGTACTACTACTACTACTACTAAAGCAAACAGAAATTAAACGAAGCTTCCAACTTTTACCTTCCGTGTAGGATAAGTATTGTTTAAACGTAAAAAAAACTATCGATAATGTCATCTTATTCTTACCGTACCATGCAAAGTCGATGAATTCTTTTCTGTCTGTGTAACAAAAATCTACTAAAGCATTAACTTGATGAATTGGAATTCGGAAGTATGAAACGAAATAGGAGCGTTATATAGGGCTAACGACAATATTTTCTAAACCCCAAAATCACCTTCACGAGTGATATGATACGCTGAAAACAGATTTTCTTATTTTTTATCCCACGTTCAATAAGTAGGTCAATCTTTTTTATCTGTTAGCGTATTCCATGCACATGAGGTGTGCAAGGGTGATTTTATCTCATTTAAATACAACAAACAGTTACCTTCTATATTGAAGATAAAATTGAATGTTTAAAAAAATGAAAGAACGTTCTTAATAGAGTTTTACTAATTAACAAATTGTCACTTCATACATTATTCTTTAATTAGTCATCTATTCACTGACAAAGATCGTTAATTAGTAAAAGACACAGTTGTGTATATTCTTGCAATCCTAATGCTGATGGTGGTGTATATGTTTCCTGAGAGCCCTGTTGTGTCCAGAACTGATGATTAGTGGAAGATGTTTAAAATTATTTGCTTCCTGTCTATTTATTATGTATATTCGTATTAGGTAGACATATACAACAAGTCGTATTGTTCATGAAGGGTAAGGTAATTAATTTAACTCAGATGCCTTCTAATCCCAAACAGACAAATCTTTCAAAGACTCGTTTTAAAGCCTCAAGAAATCCCCAAATATACATGCCCGGATCATACCAACTGCTGCAGCATAAGGGTCCACAGAGGAGGGAGGTGTAAACTTTAGAAACTTTTTTTTTTAAATTTGATGTAGTAAACCAAAAAATATAGCAGGACACCAATTTTGTTTAACACAAGTATTTTTCATGCCCTTGAAAGGTTTTAAAACAAAGATTGTTCAAGTGTGTCCAAGACCGTCTGTCATTAGATGTTTTCACATTTTCAACCTTTCCCTGAGCTAGGGGTCCAACCTTTCACCATTCTAGGGACCGATTGGTATTCTCTCATCTCCTAGACGACTAGACGGAAGGATAGACAATGAACAATTTTCCATCAGAAATGAGTAGCTGAAAGAGCTGAAAGGAATAAATTGCTAAGATTTTAATTTTTTGATAATACCCTGTTCCATCTAAAAAATCCTAACAATTTATTCCTTTTCAAGAAACAAATGCAGACTTGTAAACAGCTATGATCATTTCGGTTGTTCGATGTGTATAACATACATGTTTAAAAGCAAAGAGGCTTTTTATAAAAGCTTTGAATTGTGAAATTTATATAATATTGATTGGAAAATACCATTTCAAATACTTTTGGAATTCTGAACACTTTATTTTATCTCAGTTCTTAAGATCGTATGTCAAATGTTATTACAAAACTATATTGAAAATTCCTTTTTTAATGAACATTTTAAATTATTCTTTTAACGGGTATATTGAAATAGTGTGATAAAAATTCAGTTTTAGGTGCCAATAAGACTTCTGCAAAGTTGAATTAATATATAAACAATCAGAACAAAAAGTTTAAGATTAAAGAAAATAGCATATCTATTTATTATGTATATTCGTTTCAGGTAAATATGTAAAACAACAGTATTGTTCATGAAGGGTAAGGAAATTCAATCAACTCAGATGCATCCTTATCCCAAACAGACAAATCTTTCAAAGACTCGTTTCCAGGCTTCAAGAAATCCCCAAATATACATGCCCGGATCATACCAGCTGCTGCAGCATAAGGGTCCACAGAGGAGGGAGGTCTACGATCCTCCAGATATCCCCGTCGCTCCCAGGCTACTAGAGGAGGGATCCTGACTGTTGTTATGGCTTTGTTGGCACCGTCAAATACAAATTCGTCAATGACGGGGTGTCCTTTAACCTTCTTATTTGAAAGTCTGTCTGTATTAGCTTCTTCAATAGTTTGGTCATAAATTTTTAATAGGGGCTTTTGGTCAGATTTGGATAGTATATTAATTGCATGATGGATAAATCTGAAATTACAATAGATTCCGTGAATTAAGAACTTCATGAATATTTAACAAAAAAATGTATATTTTATTGACTAGTTCGTTATATTATACTTTCATGTTAATTAGTTGAATCTGATTCGCCGAGAAACATTTGTTGAAGAACACTATTACCCGCTGAATGATGAAGCCAAACCCTGTAGCGTAGCAACAGTCAACATTCCTTGACGACGGGTGACATTCCAAAAAATAGTGACTGCGCGGAATTTATGAGCGCAAGGTTCGCTGTTATATGTATTTTTATAAACATTCAGTATAATATAATGAATATTGCATGTAGTTGAGTGTAACATTGAAATTTTCCACCCCTCGAAAACCATTGTCAACCTCGGCTGCGCCTCGGTTGATAAGGTTTTCGAGGGGTGAAAATTTTCAATGTTACACTCAACTATACATGCTATATTTATATAATGTGTTATATGTGTATTATTGTCATTGTTATCACTTTTTTTAAAAGTTTAAAATTCACTCTCTTCAACTGTGAAATGAAACCTTTTTCAAAGAAATGCAATGCAAATAACGAACCGTATTCCTTCTTTTTCTCTCATTTTTCTGACACTAAAGTTCAAATGTCCTGCGGAATAGTCGGCCCCTCCTTTTGAAGGGGCTGTTTTTAGAGTAACCCTCAGCCCACACTGTTCTGCAAGTCTCAATAATATGTAGCGTGACATCTGCAGGTGGTCCCCTGCCATAAAGCCATCACATGGTCCAATCTGGTATTCCCACTGCAAAAAATAAACCATCTAGTAAATAAGGAAATAAAATAATGACCGGAAGCATTAAGTTAAATGTATTTCAGTTATCTAAAAATAAAAGATATTTTAGTTAGGACAGAAGTTTTACCGTCGATATCCATAACACTCAGTAGGCTCTCTCTCTCTCTCTCTCATTAAGGGGAGATACAAACTTTCTTCAAATCAATCAGCAACACTTTTTTGGATACTTCAATTTTTAGGCCTTTCAAAAGATTACTAGTTTTTTTTTTTTAATTTCTACATCAACAAACTTCATCTATGAAAATTTTAGGCCTTTCAAATGATTACTAGTAATCATGCCATCCCCTATTAGCTCACCTAAGCCGAAGGCTCAAGTGAGGTTTTCTGATCGACCTTTTTTCTATCAACCCTTAAGCTGTTTGTCTGTCTGTTAAATTTATACATTTTTGATTTCTTCCCCTGAATCACTGGGACAAACTTGCCACAAAGCATTCTTTGGTAAAATGGGTATGATTCTGTTCAAATGAAGGATCACGCCTTCTCTCAAGGGATGATAGTTAAGAACTAAATAAACATTTAATTACTTCATTTAAAATCTTCTTCTCAAAAACAACTGGGCCACAAAAGATGAAACTTAAGTAAAAGCTTCCTTACATCGTGTAGATTCAAGATTGCTCAGATCATGAGTCCCGGGGATAGGGTGGGACACAATGTTTGACATAGGAATATATGAGAAAAATCTTCATAAATCTTCCATTCTCAAGAACAGCGAAGCCATGATTAGTATATTCAATGGAAACATCCTCAAGTAGTTCACATTCATGTTTGTTCAAATCATGACCCCGGGGTAGGATGGGGCCACAATGAGCGATCAAACGTTTATTTAGCAACATGTAGGGAAAAATCTTTGAAAATTTCTCAAGAACAGCAAAGTTAATGTTAGTCAAAGTTATATGGAAACATCCTCCGGTAGTATAGATTCAAATTTGTTCAAATTATGACCACCGATGGTAGAGTGGAGCCACAATGGGCGATCATATGTTAACATATAGGAGTATATATAGTAAAAATCATTCAAAATCCATTTTCTCAAGAACGGCAAAGCTTTGATTTATCATATTTATATGGAAGCATATTCAGTAGTGTTCATTCAATTTTCTTCACATCATATGATGATCCCCAGGGATAGGGTGGGGCCCGATTGGCAATCAATGTTTTACATAAGAATATATAGGGAAAAAAATCTATAAAAATCTTCTCAAGAACAGCAAAGCCATTGTTAGTCATATTCCGGGACACCTTTACTTTTTAGTTGGAAATCACTTCCGTTAACTTACTTTCGATTTATGTGCTACGCATTGCGGATGTTTTGGTTCACTGCGTGTTCAAAACGGCATTTGCAAATCGGCAGACGATAGAAAGAAGTCATTCAATCATCTTTGTAGCTAGATCTCATCTCACATCGGGAGGAAGAGCTTACATCGATACTTATTTAAATCAAATGTCAGTCAGGTTCCCCCTAGCTATAGAATCGAAGGTGGCGAGTGTGTTCTCTTAGAACTTTTTTATTGCACATTATATGTTCTTTTTAAAATAACAAATATCAGGGATTTTTGTGTTTTTATTTTTATATTCAGACAGACACAATAAAACACAAAAATACATTAAAATATAATACACCATCATGGAACCAAACCCCCATGGTTACGACTAATTATCCAATGCAGAGATAATTTTTTTCCCCTAATAAATGGTATATTTTTATATATACTTAATGTACCTGAGACGGTCCGTTCTCCCGTACAGCTCCATGCACTTTAACCCCTGCATAGATACAAGCTTGTAGGTGTTTTACAGACAAATCCCTTTCCACACCGATGTTTTTATCGTGTTCATGTCCGACAGCCTGTAAAGGGACTGTAAAAATATATGTACATGTAAATATGCTCAACTATAACAGCATTATAACCGCTCCCCACCCCCTCTCCCACGTTCCTGCACATAAGAATAAACAAAAGCATAAATGTTGAAAAAAAAATTAATAACGTCAACAAAATCCCCATTTCAAATTCGAATGGCAAAGGAAACCTATGCAAGGACCTTAATTGAACCCGAGAATTTTTTTGATTTACCCAAACAATAAAAGCATCGCCTGCTGCTATTTGTTGTAGATGCCAATAATTCATATAGCTTTGACTGTCTGGAAAGAGGCTTAATTACATTTACATGAAAGGTAAGGACTTAAGTATAATGTAATACATGTACTTGATCTTTGTAAACCTCGTCTTAAGTAACACGATGCTGATGTTACGTAAACGGAAATGTAAGTACTACATATTTTTATCTCTGTCATTGGATTCTTTATTCACCAAACCTTGTCGTTTTATTAAAAATTATTTTTCTTATTTATATAGTTTAATGTACTAACAATTTCTTTGCTTCTTCAAACAATTAGTACAGAGTAAAATAAACATTTCATAATTTATTATTACATGTCATTAATTCTTACAAAGTGTCCCAAGAGTCAGAAACATTCAGTAATAGGATTTCAAAGGGATAAATGATAGCAGACGTGGTGTTTTCTGCAAAGTGCAAGGAAAACTGTCAAATGCAGTTTAAAAAGATTTATGTCAGTTGATTCTACTTCATTTATACAAAAGTTTTAGCTTGAATATTAAAACTTTAGTTGATAAGATGATATTATAAAATCTTAGAATTAAATCCACAATATTCCAATTTGTATGGTTATTTTTTTAGCCTGTCTATAAAGCGGTGTATCTGTGGACTGAATCTGCGCAGTCTTTACATTATCTAAATAAGTTCCATAGTGTTGTCCTTTTCTAGAAATGGGGTTCAAATTTGAAAGCATTGAGAGTACACTAAAATGCAACCCATTAAGACTAATCAAAAGGTATACACTCAAAATCTCAAATATATTATTTTTAAGATGGACGACAATCTTGCTATGAAGAGATATTGCACAACTTACCAGCTCACTAATTTCATGTAGTTCTTGATACTTAAAATATGGATAAAATATACGTACAAGCTGTAGTATAGTCAAATTTTATAGGGTCGTAGCTGACCGGGACTCCGTCATCGTTTACCACAAAGTACTCTTGTTCGAATCCAAACCACGGGTCATGAGGCTCCTTCGGCTTGTGTCCTGTTGTCGGATCATACTGTAGTCTGTTTAATGTTTCTGTTAATTTGACCCTTGTGTTAATATCTAGAAAAAATTAAGAAACATCCTCCATCCTTGATTTTCTTCGTTCGTGTGTTCACACAAGCTATAATATTTTGGTTATGTTTCAAACTACTAGGATATACATGACTGTATGAAGTATAACACATCTGATCTAAACGCAATGTACACACCAACTGTTAATTTCTTACCTGCTGGTTTGTCCATCGTCAGCCACAAGTCGCAGAGAACTAACTTATGGGGACTGCTTAAAAACGGGTTTTCAAACATGGCTACCGGTTTCATGATCATTACAGTAAATTCTTTTCTATTTGCATCATTCCAGTTGTATGTGTCATTTAACGGACATTCTAGGTATAAAAGAAGTGGAAAATAGTAGAATGATCAAACATATGTGAGAATTTAAAAATATATCATATATGTTACTATTTAGTTAATTAGTAAGTGAGAATGCAGTAATTATAAGACATGGTTTGATTTGGATATATAATTTATTTTTAACGTGTTTATAAAGTTTATTCCATTTTATCTTTTTCGCCTCTTACCTTCTGCGCTCGATGGCTCAAAATTTACCACTTTCATCTTGGACATGAACTGGAAGTTTGTTTGATTTGTGAAAACGTACTCTAGAATAACGCGTTTTGTAGATCCCGGAGTAGCTGGAGGATTGACGAAATGGAAACTCATTTTGGTTTCTATCTGTCAGGCTACAAAATTTGTAATTCGTAAACTATACGTATAGAAATATGTGTTTAAACTGTAAAGATTTCTTTGATAAATATAGATAAAATGGATGATTGAAATACATGTATGGATTGAACATACAATCAAAATTGTGTTTCTACGGCATAATAGAATCAGAAGTATAGATCTCAAAAATGGAATATATTGAAAAGATGAGGGACATTTTCCTAAAAAAAAAATGAACATTTTATCAAACAGTTACTAGTATTAAAATTTTGTTTGAAATGTCTGCACATATTCCTTTTCTTTTCCCTGCACAATTCAAAACATTGGTTTTACCACGTGGTTTTTGTTCTAGGAGAAACTAAAATAACATTTAAGATACTTTTCTGAATATCACAAAATTTCTCAAAATAATGGATTGTTTGCACTACTACTACTATATTCTCTTCAGAGAAGTGGACAGGCTTTCGCCTACATCCACTTCTCTTCGCGAGCCTTCATGTTTTGATTCTGGAAAATGTGAACAGGTGACGATCTACACTTCAACTGACATTTCGAGTCAAATATGCCTGAATTTACGTAACAGACATGTTATTTCTATAACTTTAAAATAAATACACACAGCTATCACAAGAAAACAAACCTTTACTTGTTGGGTGCATGAGAATATCATTACTTAAGCGAACTACAGGTATTTACGTAACAGACATGTTATTTCTATAACTTTAAAATAAATACACACAGCTATCACAAGAAAACAAACCTTTACTTGTTGGGTGCATGAGAATATCATTACTTAAGCGAACTACAGGTATTAATGGAGTTTCCAATTTTCACTCCCAGTGAAGGACTGTTAAGTATTGTTAAAACGTCACAAAAGCTATAAATAATGTCTTTATTCTTACCTATAACCATGCAAAGGCGATGAATTCTGTCTGTTTTACAAAATACACATTCACGTCTGATAAGCTGATGCACACACTCGTGATTTTTAACCTGCACTCAATATTAAGTAGGTCTCTGCGTTATTTTTATTCTTATCTGTTTGCGGATTGCACTCACACATGAGATATATACAAGGATGATTTTAAGTACAACACAAATTTTGAAAAAAAAAAGTCACTTGATACAGTTTTCTTATAATTAACAATTTTTAATTGTCATTAAGTACAAAACTATTTCATTAGTTATTTTTAAAAAAAGAAATTTTTTTTAAAATTCACATTCATAAAGGCACAAAAAAATGCATCGGCCGGGAATCGAACCCGGGCCGCCCGCGTGGCAGGCGAGCATTCTACCACTGAACCACCGATGCTTACACTCGTTCTATTCAAGTAATGAGAAACAAAAAAAAAGTTTTTGATTGACTGTTCTTAGTGCCTAAGGCCATACGCAGACAGGTAAGTCACAATGCACGAAACTTTTAATTCATTATGTTGTAAACTTCTAAAATATACATTAATTTTATATAATAAACCAATTACGGTAATATAGCAGGAAACCAAGTTTAATGAACATGCGTATTTTTGTGCCCTTGAAAGGTTCTGTCGTTCTGCTTTAATAGAATTGGACAGACTTTCGCCTAGGCGAAAGCCTTTCCAATTCTCTTTAGAGAATATTAGTATTATACATAGGGGCTTGTCTTCCGGATTGTTAAATGTAAAATAAATTTTAAAAATTTTGAATCTTCTTTAAATATACTAAAAAGTTGTTAAAATAAAGATTCTGACACTTTCAGTCAAGAAAAAAAAAAACATTTAAAGAAGACGTACCACACCTACATGTATATACATAAACTCTAGAGTTAATATAGCAGGAAACCAGGTTTGATGAACATGCGTATTTTTGTGCCCTTGAAAGGTTTTGTCGTTCTGCTTTAATAGAATTGGACAGACTAGCATGTCAGTTGTCTTGATCAAGCGTGCCAAACTTTTACACGTTGAATACTACATTATTTATGGATTATCTGTTTGAATTCAATAAAATACATACATACTACTTAGCATATTAAACACAGAACTCCCAAATACCACCAAAAGTATTGACCAATCATATCGAACACGTTGAATGGTTGTTTACTACGGCATTTGTAGAAAATAGTAACAGATGGTAAGTCAAAGCCTGTTTTACGTCCTATAATCATATCATGTTCAAATGTAAATTGACTTGGTTAAGATAATATAGGAAAATTTACAACATGAAAACTAGTAAAGCTACACACCTAACAGTATGCAAGTGAAAGCTAAACATTACATGCATTTATTATTTTGTTACATTTTTTAGTTGATGTTCCCCATCTCTCGTTCAAAAAACTCTTAGCGCTTTGATGTGTGAACAAAAAGTATTGCAATAAAATAATCAAATGTCCTTGTACTATAATGATTCCAGAATTTTAAGGTATGACCATGCTTAGTTCTCAATTAGTCACTGTTGACATCACGTGACTTTAATTGTGTATATATACGGAGACTCCGCAGTCGTTTACGGTTATTCTTCGGATGCAGCCAAGGAGAGAAGACGAATGAAAGTATACTGGATAAAGTATTTTCAGTTATTAATTCCTCGCTTGTTTTCACATTTTGAGAGTGAATTTGGAAGGCCATTTAAGGTTTGCCAAACCAGTTATAAGGCCTGCCACGAAGAGGTTGTCCTCCAGTAAAGAGGCTAGCCATATAGTTTGTGATATCGTCTGCATTGGCTGACCGCTATACTCATTGTCCGTCCTAAATAAGGCATCCTTCAGTGAGTGTAGTGGTTGAAGGGCTATCACATATACTGTCCGTCCTGAATAAGGCATCCTACAGTATATGCGATAGTCTGAGGGCGACTAGGCTCTTATTTTAGTGTTAGGTTAGGACTACCAGTTAATTAATTGTTGCTTGCCTCTGATTATGATGGTGCTTTACTAGTTGATTTTAGGTTAGGACATATTTGTATATTTCGGCAGTCCACTAAAATCAGACCAATTATTTCCAATCATTTAATGTTGAACTCCCCAAACCCTGGAATTGACCAGGTACGACCCCTGTGTTTAATGTAAATACGTTACAGTACTTTGAATCGGGAGATTGATATTACGGGCTTTGAATGACCACATGTTGCTGTTTGCAACATACTCACTCATAAAGAGAATTCAATACGATTGGTCAGTGCTGTCAGGGGTATTGTTGGGTTCTCTGTTTTATATAAAAAGTAGAACTCAAATCACTGAAACCAAACAGTCAAGCGAGAATAGAAGTAGAGCCTCACTCTCTCTTCTAACTTCATAAAATCCCTATATTTCAGCAAAGTATCTTTGCTAGTCGCAGAGAGTAAGCGTTTGAAAAACATTGCGACGAATTGTGCTTTCTTTTTTGTAAAGAAATGAGCATGTTTCAGTAAAAGTCGACTTCTTTAAGAAAGACCACAAAGTTCCATTCAAACGAAAAATTTTACCACTTCAATGTGTATCATTGTAGAACTTGTACCACAAACTCTACTACAAACTTCACTTCTGACAGAAGAAAATTAACCAAGTAATCTTTAAAAAAAATTATTCTGTTTAATTTATTCTTTAATATGTACCGCCGAAATATGGCTGAAATATTGCCGACTCGGCGTAAAACAACAATAATCAATCAATCTTTAATATGTTGTTGAATAATGATAAGGTGATATGTTAAGCCATGTGGCTTAAAGAATAAATAACAACAAACAATAACCATGGCAATCAAGGACAATTCTTCTGGAAAAAAAAAACATTTGAAATAAACGTGGCAATATTACTTTTAATCGGTTGTGTTTTTGGTAAATGTGATTGTATGCCCTGTACACGCCTTTTAGGTAGAGTTGAATATCAGTGGTTGTTGATAGGAACTATATATCCCATATCATCTTCAAACATTCTGTAAATAAAATAAAATTAAAATAAGTAAGATGAAATTTATGATACGATTTCAGATGAATTTTATCGTTATTTGTTTTTATTTGACCAAAATTCCAGAAACAGCATCCATCTTCCTAATATTATCCTTTGGTACCAGCAATTATTCTTTATGTGAATGAGAGAGAATTTCTTGCACACATTACCCGCATTCCCATTAAGTTAGTATTATGTGAAAAAGAATACGGCCTTAACTTCACTTACACCGGTTTTATTTTGAAGAGGCACATCAATCTTATCAAATTAAGGTATGTCACTCGCCAGCTTTTGAGAAAAAATTAAGTTTGGTCAGAACCTCTTACTTCAAAATTATTTATTATAATTCCATTTTTATGACATATTTGAATTAAACAATGAAAATTATACAATATTCAATTTAAAAACTGCTCACAAATTTGTAAAGAAACAAGATTTATGGGGGATTATTTTTTTGTGGAAGAATGATATTTGGAAGAACATGCTTCAAAGTCTACACATCTGTTTGATTTAATATCTTTAAACTTAAGCCCTATATATTCTTACTTGGAGAATTTTTTTTTAGTATTATATGCTAGGAATATTGAATAGAGGTTTTAATATTTTTAAAACAAATTTTACACATTCACTCAACAGAATTTGGCTAAAGATGAAGATATATTTAAAAAGTTAAGATAAAATGTACATTGTTTTTCAGCTGAAAATCTCATATTTTGACCATTATGAAATTACACGATACTTTCAACCGATCAGCATTTAAGTCATAAAAAAGCTTGATACAAGGGAATATTTTATTGTCTTTTTAGATTTTTAATACCTAAAATATGACATTTTTAGTGCAAAAAAAGGTCACACAATAATTTACGTGCATTAATTTGCAGGATTTTTTCCAATACTAATTATTATTCAAAGTATTTTATATAAAATAAGATTATATTTACTGCCGTGATTGATTTCGGTAAAATATGATAAAGGTTATAGTGATTAATCTAAAAGTTACAATTTAAGTGCAAAAAAGTCAAGTGAATTGTACCATTGCTCTGTAAGATGCACATTGGTCCCCAATTTTCTTGGCAATTTTGAGTCATGTTATATGAATAGTTATCTAAAATATACATCTCAAAAATCCTTAATATAGCTCATGTCCCGAGTGACATACCTTAAGTTTTGTCTCTTTCAAATCTTTTATAGTAATTTTCGTCATTTAAATTTTTTTAACCTGTTGTCGTTTAAAGCTGAATATGATCCGTTTAGTTCTGAGTAATTTACAGATAGGTTTAGTTCCGTGTAGACAGAGCCGATTTGTGGGGGAGTCGAATTGTGTTGTTCTGCAGACCCTACATCTGGACCAAGTTTTCTATCTGACTTATTCCACCTTCTGAAAGATATTTAATAGCTGCATCATATTTGAATGAGATAATTTACTTTTCTATTCTTGGCTATTTTCATGAATGTAGAATTCGAATTATTAACTATAAAGTCAAACTGTAATTGGAGACAATCATTATGTTACGTCTTCCAAGGTTTTTGGAAAAATCTTGATATTCGTTTCTTTAATGAATTTGTTAGTTTAGTTCTTAGATTTAGGCATTTTTAAATTATCTCAAGTCATCGTTGATTCTCACATTTTCGTTCCTTTGCCAAAAGCAGCCAACAAAGAAAAGTGAATTTCGTTTTAAGACTCCAAGCTGGTGCAAACTTCATAATACTTGCTGTTGAATAAGCTGAGTTAACAATATACAGGAATCTTTTTAGCTTCTGTAATATTTAACTATAGATGTTACCTTCTTACGTTTAAGAGCACTGCTGTGAGAAGAAACATCCCAATAACAGCAACTCCAAAAAGTGAAGCAAACACAACTGCAATATACATATTAGTAATATAAATGTGAAAATCATCAAATGGAATAAGCGATTTTTATTAAGTGTATAATGCTTTTTTATCCTATAATGCATCGCAGGAAAAGATATTAAATCCTGTGAATTCAAAAATGTTACATTCATCGGTAATTAAGTAATATCTACATAATCAGAGAATACTGAATGCTTCAATTTAAGACACTTTTTCTGAGATTGTGTTCTTTACACAAATATATTTTCAAATCTATTTTCAGATTGTTCGTTTTTTATTTAAATAACCTGACAATCTTCTTTCTGTAGGAGAACCATCTGTTGGTGGTTTCTTAAGAGTTCTATCCTCTCCTTCGTACACGAGACTGCAGGTTACTATGAAATTGTAGGAATCGACTAAATGTAAAGAAAAGTACAGATTTAGCAATGGTTTATTAAGTTGTAATAAAGAAGCAATACTACAGATGTCTATAAACTTATTGAAATTTCTGCACACTCTTTCTCAGTGAGGATTGTCATGACACACTTAGAATACTCATCAAACATTGCATGCGCATCGCATTACAAAAAAAATCATTTTCATTGAGATAAAGCATTAGAAAAATAACATATACCCGGACTCAGCAGAGTGAAGCAGTATCTTGTATTCCCGCTTCTTCTGGAGGGATCTGAAGTTAGTCTAACCGTTGAAGTTCCATTGGGTTTAACAATTAAACTTTCCAGTTTGCCTCCACAGTTCTTTGATTGCTTTTCGATCGTAGGATCTTTGTATTTAATCTCTATTCTTCGTCCACAACCTTTTTGGTCTATAGCCTCGAGCAGGTACTCGACTTTGCCAGTAAAATTGAAGTTAATCTTGCAACTGCATTGATACTCAATAATGCCGAAGTCTATTGATAGTTGATCCCCTGACACACTCCGTCCGCCACAACTGCCCAGAGTAGTTACTGAAAAGTAGAAAATATACATGTGAAATAATTCTTTTGAGAGCATAAGGTTAAAGTACATGTAGTATAAGATAAAGACAAGGTTTTTTTGAAAAAAAGATAAACTTGTATGTTTTTAGTGTGGAAGTACAGATTTAATATTTATCTCTTATGTATTTATTCGCTTTGGGATCATTCTATTCTTCTTTTCATCTAAAGTAATCTTAAATATTTTGTAATATAATTCTTTTGCGCATCGGATTGAGTCGATTTCTATTTTCAATTTCATTGGTTCATTTGATATTATCCTATAGTTTTAATTTACCTTGAGTATAAGTAACCGTTCAAACTAAGCAAAATTGGGCAGTATTACATTTAATAAGGAAACTATCTATCAAGCGTATATCAGCTGCACCTTGTGGTATATAACTATCATATTTATTTATTTGTTACTTTACTATAAAAGTTTTGAGTATGGCATTTTATTTTAATTGCAAAGTTTAAACGTTATTGTATTTTTGCAGTTAAAGTCTGAGTAATTTCTTATATTTGTGTTTAAGTTCAAAGTTCATTTTGCTAAAGAACATTTTTTTCTATCTAATATATGTATGCTGCATTAAACGGTAACTTATTGTCAAAGTTTATGAAACTGTAGTGTAAATTGTATTTTTCTCTAATTTATTCTTTATATCTGTAATAGGTCAATGTCTTTTTAAACTTCATTAAATAAAATGGCTACCAACATCTGATTTCTTCATATCATTCTTACTGCTCGGTTACATTAGGTAACTGTCATAACACACGCCTATTATGTATTAAGGACATATGCAATGTACATGGACATGTACTTTACAAGGTACCTTTCCCACTGATAATTTTCCGAGATATTTTTTAGTTTAAAATCATAATACCATCACATGTTCGTAGACAAAATATCAGCATATATTTCCGGGATTTTTGAACAGATATCAAATAATGAAAATCATTGCATTTTTAAAAGAAAAATTAAGGGGAAAAAGTTTCAGCGGATATCTCTCAAAAATTTGAATCAGGAATCAGTAGTGTATTACGGGACATCATAACATTGCACAAAAATCACTCAGTTATTGTAACTATTAAATTATTCAGGGAATATGAAATTAAAGTTCAAAACTACGTTGCGTATGTCCTTAATATATCAAAGTATATAAATAACTATGGCGTGATTTTGTAGGATGCCATCTACACTTGGGTATCTAAAGTCAGAGACTTTCTAAAAAGATATAAGAGGCGCAAAGATGGGAAGTTCCTTCAATTCTGTTGAGCGTGAATATTGTACATTGTATCGTACTTGGCAATGGAGAACAATCCAAATAACCGAGTGCATGAAAACAGGACATTTCTTGAACTGTTACCGTAGTTGTTCCAAACCATTCTCAACCATCTTGGACTTGGTCAACGTTCACGATAGGCAAGAAGATGGCGTTGAAAATGCCTGAACTAGTTTTTGACCCTAATTTTGCCATTACACAATATTTACAAGACCAGCATACATGGATAACAACACAAGGTGTTTTTTTTTTTTTGCTTTTGAGTTAGTGAAACCTTGATCAGCGTACCTTGTACCCCAATTTTGTGAAATTGTGAATGCGAGAGATCATTTCTATTTTTTTTCAGTCTTCCGAATTGACAAAATCTTTAAGTTCATTTTAAGAATTCACATGTTGAAGGAAAGGTTGAAAAGGAAAATTCATTTCTTCGAATTGCTGTTAATGGAGTCAATTTTTTCTATACAATGTGATCAACGATGAGTGATAGAGTGGCTGCTTTGGCATAGTTGCAGACCGGCTGTTGAATGATAGACACGAATGGACTACATGTACCTACCCCACTTCTGTCACCATTGTTACCAGCTGACCAAGCGTCGAACCATAGGAATGTCCATTGAAAAACAAAGCAGACATGTATTCTGCACAACGTTACATTTTTTCACTGCATTTGAACTTCAGTGTGTTCCTGGTACTACATGTCCGCACTCCCATTGGTTAACAATAATGCTGTTGTCAGAGATGCTTTTATCACCTTGCATTTTGTTTCTCAGGTATCATCTTCAGTAATGTAATTTTAGCAATTGTAATATTTATTATTTCGAAATAGTTAAAAAAAAAACAAGGGGATGCTTATATAATTAACTTTTACGAAAGGGAAAGGGGCACGACAAACGGTTGTGATAAGAGAAATATAAAACAATGCCAAAACTAGATAAAAATGTATAGTCATTCTAGTGGAAAAGACCAATATTATATAGATGTGGCACAAAGAAACAAATCAGGAAATACTTTCTCTGATATTTAAATGTTATTCTTTACCGTTAAGATCACTTACCATTTTTATGACAGGCTCTTTGACCTATAAAAATAAACAATTATAAACCAATCAATCACTAATTTACAACTGCATGTTCTCTTTTCTATTTCTAATTACTTTGACCAGAAAAAGAGTTTCCGAAGTATTGAGAGAGATCTCCACATTTATTTTCTAGGTATCTCATGCTAAATGTCGTCTCTTACCAAATACGTAGTAAATCAGTTTCAATTCAAATAGAAGAAGGCTGGTTACAATCAAAGTCATATCTGTCACTGGCAGACCAGTATAAGAGTTACAAATAAAGTTCTTCCGCTCCTTTTTAAGGGTTGCCTTCAGTTTATCAAGTCCTGTGTTGTTGTCACTTACTAGATCGGAAATTGTTGTTAGTGGACTTGAGTCTGATGTACATACTGGTGTCGACAGGTGAATTTTAAACGCCTTTGCTACAAAATCGCTGGGGACAAAGTTTTTGCTTTGCTCGTCCCATCGTCATTTCGTGAAGTCAGTAGGCACCAAGAGTCTCGCCAAAACTGTGCAAGTTTGATGCCTGTATTAAATGGTCCAATCACAGCTTGTTAAGGCGAGCAAGAATTAGAGAGAGAGAGAGAGAGCATAATATATATATATATATAGAGAGAGAGAGAGAGAGAGAGAGAGAGAGAGAGAGAGAGATTCAATGTTTTGTAGCTGGATATGGGATTTATTTCACGAGTGTGACAGATTTTTTTTTTATTTTCACGAGTGCGAAGTACTAGTGAAATGATAAAAAAAAATCCTGTCTCACGAGTGAATTTCATATTCAACTACAAGACATTGAATTTTCTGTTTATTACATTTTCTTTGATTTTCCCTTTGCCTCTGTCTTTTCTTAACATTATAAGTCTCATAGTTGAACAGTTGAGATGCCATAGCATAGCAATAGTGAGATTGAAAACATTCTAATATGCATTTTAGCAGCATGTTTGGGAAGAAATTGGCAGTTTTAGTCTCTATCGAGACGGTTTAGTTGCTATCTCCATCTTACGACAAACCAGAATTTATTTTTTTACTTACTTTGATATAATGATACATACATCTCCAAATGACATGTTAACAGAATCGGTAGTTTCTGTTCTTTTTTTCTTCCCCGGCAAGCAATCCTTTATCTGTTTATCTTATAATATCTTGTATACGTCTAAATGGACTTCAAGGATTTCTCGGAAAGATGCGAATGTTGTGTCATAAAAGTGTATTTTTAAGGTACAGTGGGTCTTTGCTCCACGTTTTGGTTAACCAAAAAATGTATATTTTTACGCAAACTTTGAGGATAATCTTTCAAATTATGGAACGAAAACCCACTCTTATCGAAAAATTGGGTTATAGAATGAGAAAACGATCCTTTTTGCCCTCTCCAGTGTGTGTATGCTATTTCATAGGCAAATAATTTCAATCTTTGTGAGATATTTGCAAACTGTCGACATTTTACACAAAGAATACTTTATTTTTCGATGAAATATCAAAGAAAATTTTGATATAATTGAGATTTAATTTTTCACCTTCACGTTTGTCGCACTATGGGCCTTGTTCGCCCATCTTCTTTGTCCTAACGATTTTCTAATTTGTTTAAACGAATATCTAATTTGTCCAAACAAATTTCTAATTTGTCTGAACAAGTATCTATTTTTTCCGAACACCAAACAAATACATGTATTTTCTTTGTCCTAACGATTTTCTAATTTGTTTAAACGAACATCTAATTTGTCCGAACAAATATCTAATTCGTCCGAACGAATATTTAATATGTCCAAACAAATATGTAATTGTCCGAACGAATATTTTTAGTCCCCTACCGGTGAATCCGGAGGGGGCTATAGGTTTCCTCTGAGTGTGTCCATCCGTCTGCCTGTCTAGCTGTCCCTCTGTCTGTCAGTCTGTCCCACTTGGTTTTCCGCACTTTTTTTCTAAACGTTTGCAGATATTGAGCTGATTTTTGGTATGCAAGTGAATCTTGATGAGTTACAGATCAAGTTTGCATTTCGTTCTGCTTCAAAGATTTTTGACGGAATTACGACCTTTTCAATTTTTCAGGGTTTTCCGCATTTTTTTTTTTCAAAACGCTTGCAGATATTGAGATATTTTTGGTATGTGACTTTATCTTGATGAGTTATAGATCAAGTTTACATTTTGTTCCGCTTCACTGATTTTTGACGGATCTATGGCATTTTCAATTTTTAACGGGAACCAGATTACACTTGCCGGTAGGGAACTAGTATTCTAATGCAATACTCTCAGAATGCTTGTTTTTATCTAGCCCTCAAGCAGCACCATTTTATCCAGGTAGAAAATGAGAGGAAACGGTCATAAGGGGAAGGAAAAAGGAACGACTTTTTTGATTACATTATCGCAATCATCATAAAAATATTAAATGTAATTTAATTAAAATTTACTAATACTTTGATTACTTGACTGTGGTATGGGGATGAATATAGGGGAAGAAATCATGTTTTTAATAAACATCATTTTGACTATTTTAAATGTAATAAATCTAAAGCTCTTAAAATATAACAAATATCTATGTTCCAATGTAGTATTAATTATGTTGTTTGCTTATTGTTGTTTAACGTACCTCTTGAGAATTTTTCACTCATACGGAGACGCCACCACTTGCCGGTGGAGAGCTGCAAATTTTGAACTATACTCGGCACTCAGGGCCATTGAGCAGTAAGGAATCTTTTTCGTGCCAGCACCTACTGCGACACGGGACGTCGGTTTATACGGTCTCATCCGAATAACCGCTCTCCACGTCCCACAGTGGGTTTCGAATCCGCGATGTAAGGATTAACTCCTTACTCCCTGACTCTAGAGCAAACGCTCTAACCACTGCGCCACGCGGGCTATATTAAATATGCATTACACTCAAATATTAAACAGTTGGTGTACATACAGGTCTCAATTCTACATAAACATTTTATTTTTTTAAATTCAGTTCCAGCAATTTTTGTATTGTGTTAGTTTACCCAAAACAAATCCTTTAATATCGCAAGTAGAAAGGCAAAAGAAGCGTTCAAGTTCTTGGTGCATCGAAGCCACTGAGCAGAATATTGAACAAATGGTGACATGAACATGCAAGACTTTGGTTCAGTTAAAAGTACCTGTTAAATGCATAATTGTCTCAAGGTCATGTTTAAAAATTCATTAGAACTTATGTTTTAACTCCCAGACTGCTATGTAATTTGATTCTACACAGACTACAAATATCCACATCATCTGGTAATCCATTCCTCTTTTTTGTCTACTTTCACTTTCTTGATACTTCAATGACGGTTTGAACTTTACTCATTTGTATAATATTGCCGAGTATGCATTTTAAAAAGATGGCAAACAATTTTTGCACGAAGATCTGATTTTGTTTTCTTTACATTAGTAAGTACCATGCTTTTTCCTCCCATTCCTGTCAGCTGCAACTCAAAGCATGCAATTTACTGCACCAGTTGTTTCAGCTGGAGTATCAAGGCTAAAATTGTTTAAAATCATAGAAAGGAACCCCCTCCCCCTTTCATACTAGTGACTATAGATTTTGTTAACTAACATAAAAATTTTAAAAAGTATTTTTAATTGTCCAGTTTTCTGAATTACTGTAACAGCTTTAAATAGCACTGAAACAGTGTCCTGCAAGACACAACTTTTGCACAATACTTGTTCTGTTCATGAGCACAGTACATGTACTTGCACAAACAAATGGAAAAATAAATTTCATTTAAAAACATTTATTATGAAGATATGTTTCCTAAAATGGTGAGATTTCTTTTTTAAAATGCCAAAACAGAAAGCATGACAATTGATTTCAAATGAAGAAAATGAACCACTGTCCTCTACACCACCGGTCACTACTGTTAATCCTACTGGCTTAATACAGAAACCGCTGGACTATTCGTGATCAGAGGCAGGACTGTTAGATCGTGATCCGCCCTTCGCATCACCACCTTCGTTAACTGGTGACCTGCTCTTTGACCGACTGATAGATCTAGAACGACTGCGAGATTTTGACATGCTCCTTGATCGGCTTCTTCTCCTGTCAGGACTACCAGATCTAGATCTACAATAGTACAGAAAGCTTAGCCTAAAAGGGAGACATCTTTGACACAATTAAAACACTACATCATTAATTCGTGCAACAGACTACCAAAATATGGATTTGAGGATTTCTTTTCTTTCAAGTGTTAATATTTTCCAATAACAAACATATGGCTTACCTTCTCCTATCCCTGCTTCTGCTGCGACTTCTGGAGGGGGACCTTCTTCGTCTGTATGGGGATCTAGACCGTGACCTAGAGATACATAAATACTGATTTTAAAATGAACAATACTCATATCAAAATCCTAGTCAAGCTTTCGGGGAAGATACTGCAGATTCCATATTTTCACAAGTACTTATTATCGTGAAATTACTCTTGAACGTCAAATAGTGAGAACAATAATTCATGAGTGGATGGTTGATCAAGGTATTTTGCATGGATTTTAGCACCATAAAAATAAAGCAATATTATTTTGTGAGTGGTGTTTCTTGCGAAATTACGCGATAATTATTTCCTGGCATATATTTTGGAATCTACATGAATCAAGGCATTTTAATAACATTTAAGAGGAAAAGAACTTTCTTGTACTTCAATTAAAGCCATTCTGGTCTTTTAGGTTACATCACTTTAGTCTTATTAAACATCCTTTAGTCCTAATTATAAACAGAACTTATCAATATCTATACTACAGAGTTATGGCCAACACAGGAAATATGGTATACATACTGATAATTTTTAAACGTTTTAAAGATGTCACTAGGTAAGAGACATGATACAATGTTTAGTCACAAAAAAACTTATCAGTATACAGTATTCATTAGTACCTGCTTCTTCTACGAGAGCCGTAACGTCCTCCTCCCCCACTCCTATCTCCTCCCCCACCTCTGGAGCGACGGAATCCGTAAGAGCTGTCATTGGGGCAGTCTCGTGCAAAGTGTCCAGTTCTGTGACAGCGATAGCATTCATCGTACATACCTCCCTGTTAAAGATTGGAAACAATGAAGAGTTAGGACAATCCTCTATGTAAGCAGTACCCATCGAGTCACATACAATTTCAATTGAACTTCTTTGAATACATTAACCAAACTCAATGTGTATCTGCTCTCAAACATTTTGAAAGACATACTTACACCACCTCCTCTTGATGATGATGAATATGGCCGTCGTGGATTTCCCTTTGCCCATTCCACACGAATACTAGATCCACATATCTCCCTTCCATTTTCATACTTTAGTGCATCCTAAAATAAGATGAATTTTTGTAACATTCTATAATTCTTGTTAATTACAGTCTTCTTTATCATGCAGAGGAGGGAGAATGAGATTACCACACAGCCACAACTGTACAAAGATAATTTTTACATTTTGGTTTCTTAATTATCTTTGGAAATTCTACAGCACAGTAAAACTGTTTAAGAAATATAATTCCACTAGACTCCAAAGATAAGATTGCTTTGAGAAAACAAAGCTTGAAGATTTTACCCTGAACTTTGGCATTGGCAACTATGGCAAACATGGCAAATGGCAAACAGAACATGGCTCATAGGACATGACTGACTAGGAACTGGCTAATGGGGCTCCCTATGGGTGGGCAGGCATAGGAAAGCATGGAGCATGAACTCCCAAATAACTAAGGAACCTGATGACCTGATCAGCTGCCAGGGAAAACAACTCTGGTGGAAGCTATAGTGGCCCGCTACACCAGTTTAAAATCGGTGATGGCAACAATGGGCTAATACTAAATTGTCCACATTCACAGCTAGGCCATAATGGTCGCACTGTCATTTTCATAGCAATCAATATTTTAATATACATACACAATACATTAGATATCTTTATCCTGTAAAAATAGTAATTGTGTGAATAAGTTCACTTACACCCATACACCATTCATCTAATTAAAAACTATTTAATCGCTTATTACAGTACTTCAAATTAATGGTGCCAAGTTTCCATCCCAGTAAAAGTGAAAAGAAAATTTGAATTGGATTAGCACTACTGGTTATGTGAACATGCACTAAAACACTGCCATCAGCACTGCCTTTCAACACACACACACACACAGTCTCTCCCTCAAACAGTTTTAGAATACATGTATAACATATTTCTTCCATGATGGAGCATTGGTTGTTCAAACCTGAAGCTTCAAAAGATTTTAATAAATTTGCTATTGACAGTGCACTTTGTACACAATAGTATCAGAAAATTACTTTTAATTTCTAAATTTAATGTCAGAAAATTATCACAATTTTTACAACAAAAAAAAAAAAAAAAAAAAAAAACATATCGAAAAACTTAACAGGAAAACTTTTTTTTCAAATGGGACTCAACTTGCTGTTGGAGAATGCAGTTACACTAATCCAAATTGCTATCAATATACTAATAAACATACTCCACCCATAAGTTTCTTGCATGACTTTTTTTTAAGAACAGAAACCTGTCATAACTTCCTAAACATACACCTGCACAGATGTGTGTTTCTTATAAAATATGCAATATCAAACACAATTCTTTGCAGTAATTTTTTTTGGCCCAATTAAGCAAAGGGGACTTTATGAAAAAGAACAAGAACTGGTCTACTGAAACATGTTTGTGTCTTTTTTTAACATAAAATTGTAAAAATATTCTCTTTTGTTAAAATAAGAAAAGTATTTGTCTATTCACATTAAGACTTTTACTTTGTGCAGTGTAAGAGACCAATGTAAAACTAATTAGCTTCTTTATCAATTTTTTTTTCAAATTAACATGAAAATTACTAAAAATTACTTTCAAAATTTGCCAATTTTTCGTTTCAAAGTCTCGGTCATTTGGACAGACAAGGGTCAATGGTTCACTGCATTGTGTCAAACTTCTCGGGACAGATCTGCATTTATGTACTTATTACTTACTTCACTAAACCTTTTTTTTTTAAGTCTGAGACAGTTCTTTGACAATTAAATGCATTATTGTACCTCTCTGAATCCCCTTGAAATGTGGTGATTGAACTAAATGCTCACATCCAAAACATTTGGATCACATGACAGGTACAGTAATGCATTCTGTACATCAGTGCGTAAATATTTAAAACCACTAGTCCTTGGGTAAAGCTATTCTATGCATTATAATATTTTAGATAAACAGTAACAATTTGAGCATTGGACTTTGATCAATATGCCATTTTTGCAGCTTTATGACATCACAGTATTGTTTTATACCTCTGCATCTCTTCTGTCTTCATAGTCAACAAAGCCATAAGCTGAAAAAAATAACAACATAATAAAGTGTGAGCCAAACTTAATAACATTTTTTCCAACCATTTTTAACATAGTTGAAATTGTTTATACTAATTTATCTTCAAAGAACTACAATTTCAGTAATAAAGCTCACACTGCTAGCTCTTATGACAAAGCCCGGGCAAAGAGAAAATTCTAGGGATGCGCGATTTTATCGGTATACCGGTATATCGCGATTTTTTATTGTGTGATACGTATCGTGATACGGAGACTAAAATACCTGTATTTGGTACATAACTATAAATTCCGGAAATTATTCATTTATTTGTTCAAACTATTGAATGACATTTACAGAAAATGTAAAAAATGTTGAAAACAGTTAAACAACGGCATCCAAACATGCTTTATATTAAATAAATAAAAAATAAAAAGGTAAAGTTATATGTTTATAGCATATTTTTTAAGAAATATTATGAAAATTCATTTGAAATTGTAGTAGAAATTGTGTGTATAAATATCACGATTTATCGTGATACGTTTGGGAAAAAATCGTGGTATATCACGATACGAAATTTCTGCCGATACCCATCCCTAGAAAATTCAGACTACTGCATTTTAATCAAATAGAATTTTTTTCTGGCAGTAAACTTCAGTACTCATTAGGGCTGTGTACTGACCAAAATATTTCGATATGACATGATACAATATTTTATAATGCGATGTGCGATATATTGGATTCTTTAACAAGTCTATCACTATCAGAAAGGTTTGTAAATGATTTAATGCAAAAATTTGATAAAAAATGGGTGTTTTACCACCAAACTGGAAGTTCATGACTTCATGTCTCACTGTCTTTACAAAGTACACTTCAAATTCAAACTTTAATGACTGTAAAACTAATATGTTAAAATATAGTTGTCTATGTATTTTGCAATAGTTAATTCAGATGTGCTATCTCCTTAATGCTTCTTTCATTATTGACCAATTTTAATTAAAACATAGGTAATCAGAGATTACAGAGCTCATCTCAACGAATGTTGTCTTTAAATAAGGCAAAGTCCCACACTAAACTAATAATCTAGTAGTGAGCTTCCCTAGATGCAACATTTATGCAATTTTGGTCTGATATGGCTTGCTGCTTGGGAATGGACTTATCTAAAAACTTAAAACTAGTCACTCATCCAGAAAATGCAAGTCAAATACAGCATCTGAAGCAAGTTTGAGAGTGTTCGTCCCTTGATGCATCATCCACGCAAGTTTGGTTCAGATAGGCCTTATAGTTACTTGGAAATGAGATCTGCTCCAAAAACTTCAACCTAGTCACTCATCCGGAAAATGTTGGTCAGATCCAGCATCTGAAGCAAGTCCAGTGGTATGCATCATCCTTAGATGTATTATCCTTGCAAGTTTGGTCAATATAGGGCTTATAGTTACTTGGAAATGAGATCTGCTCTAAAAACTTCAACTGGTCACTCATCCGGAAAATGTAGGTCAGATCCAGCATCAGAAGCAAGTCCAGTGGTGTGCATCCTTAGACATATCATCCATGCAAGTTTGGTCAATATAGGGCTTATAGTTACTTGGAAATGAGATCTGCTCAAAAAACTTTAACCTGGTCAGTCATCCGGAAAATGTAGGTCAGATCCAGATCCGAAGCAAGTCCAGTGGTGTGTATCCTTAGACGTATCATCCATGCAAGCTTGGTCAATATAGGGCTTATAATTACTTGGAAATAAGATCTGCTCCAAAAACTTTAACCTGGTCACTCATCCGGAAAATGTAGGTCAGATCCAGATCCAAAGCAAGTTCAGTAGTGTGCATCCTAAGACGTATCATCCATGCAAGTTTGGTCAATATAGGGCCTATAGTTACTTGGAAATGAAACCTGCTCCAAAAACTTTAACCTGCACCAAAACCTTAACCTGCTCCAAAAACATTAACCTGGTCATTCTTTAGCTGAAATTGCAGCATCTGAAACCTTGACTGGTACAATGAAACACACTAGAAGCATCCTCCATGCATCTCTGATTGGTATAGGGCATAGAAGTACTTGAAAAGACAAGAGGCCCATGGGCCACAGCGCTCACCTGAGTAACTTTGGCCTTGCTGTTTTTCACCCGATTTCCCCCCCCCCCCCCCCGTAGTACTTATTGTGGCCCCGCCCTATCCCCAGAGGTCATAATTTGAACAATTGGAATCTACACTACCCCAGCATGCTTCCAAGTAAGTTTCAGCTTATCTGGCCCAGTGGTTCTTGAGAAGAAGATTTTTCCTATATATTTCAATGTAAAACTTGGATTCCCTATTGTGGCCCCGCCCTACCCCCGGGGGTCATGATTTGAACAATTTAGAATCTACATAACCCCAGCATGCTTCCAAGTAAGTTTCAGCTTTTCTGGCCCAGTGGTTCTTGAGAAGAAGATTTTAAAAGATTTTTCCTATATATTTCAATGTAAAACTTGGATTCCCTATTAAGGCCCCGCCCTACCCCCGGGGGTCATGATTTGAACAATTTAGAATCTACACTACCCCAGCATGCTTCCACATAAGTTTCAGCTTTTCTGGCCCAGTGGTTCTTGAGAAGAATATTTTAAAAGATTTTTCCTATATATTTCAATGTAAAACTTGGATTCCCTATTATGGCCCCGCCCTACCCCCAGGGGTCATGATTTGAACAATTTAGAATCTACACTACCCCAGCATGCTTCCACATAAGTTTCAGCTTTTCAGGTCCAGTGGTTTTTGAGAAGAAGATTTTTAAAGATTTTTCCTATATATTTCAATGTAAAACTTGGATTTTCTATTGTGGCCCCGCCCTACCCCCGGGGGTCATGATTTGAACAATTTAGAATCTACACTACCCCAGCATGCTTCCACATAAGTTTCAGCTTTTCAGGCCCAGTTGTTCTTGAGGAGAAGATTTTTAAAGATTTTTCCTATATATTTCAATGTAAAACTTGGATTCCCTATTATGGCCCCGCCCTACCCCCGGGGGTCATGATTTGAACAATTTAGAATCTACACTACCCCACGATGCTTCCATATAAGTTTCAGCTTTACTGGCCCTGTGGTTCTTGAGAAGAAGATTTTTTAATGACCCCACCCTATTTTTGTCTTCTCTTGATTATCTCCCCTTGTGAGGGGACTTGGCCCTTCATTTTAACAATTTAAATTCCCCTTCACCCAAGGATGCTTTGTACCAAGTTTGGTCAAAATTGGCCCAGTGGTTCTTGAGAAGAAGTCAAAAATGTGAAAAGTTTACAGACGGACGGACAGACAGACAGACAGACGGACAGACGGACGGACGGACGACGGACAAAATGTGATCAGAAAAGCTCACTTGAGCCTTCGGCTCAGGTGAGCTAAAAACTGCTCCAAAAACTTTAACCTGGGACGCTGACGCCGAGGGTATTACATAAGCTCCCCCAACTTCGTTGAGGTGAGCTAAAAACAGTTAAAAAATTATCTTTGGTGACTGAAATTCCCAACTTTTTCACAGAATTATAAGAAAAACTGTCTGCCCAATATGTACTGGAAGTTATTTTGTCGATATGATACATTCCTGAATATCGATACATGTTGTTTAATCAATATATTGACACAGTCCTAGTACTCATAACGCACAACAAATATCAAATATAACTGCTTTTGCTCAAACTCTCGTGATATCAATCAAAAGTTCACAAATCTAACATACGATGTCATGTGACATCACTAGACCTCCCAAATGTCTTGTGCGGTTTAAACAGGTCCAGTCCAAATACTATTTTTACCTATGTAGCTACTTATAGCTACCTACGTTAAGTAGGTATTTAAACCTACCCCAGGTAGCTATTTTTACCTACTTTTTGCTTAACCTGCATTTTGTGGCAAAACCCAGGAATGGCGCAATATGGGAAGTACTAAATTTTTTAATACAGTCACAATGACAATGAATACGACAAAAATTTTGGCTGAAAATGATTACTTTCTAATATATGAATTTTGCATAAAAAAAAAACTACATCAATTTTCATTTCTGGTTGCTAACGATCAAAACCAAGTTTAAAATGTCTTACAAATCTGTATCGCTTTAACACTTATCTTCATGCATTCTTAGATGAAATGTTTTTGGGAAATTTTTCATGCATTTGTCTCCATTCTTCACTCCTAAAGTTTTCAAGTTAACACACTAAATTTTGCCATGCAAGTGCACAAGATACTGATAATAAACAACATCTGACCTGTTTTAAATATGTGCCTTATAATACATGTAATTATTATTTAATTTTATTTTCAAAGACAGGTAAAAGTAGGTAGAAGTAGCTACAAGTAGGTTTAAATACCTAGGTATAGCTATTAATAGCTACTAGGTAGAAATAGTCTTTGGACTGGACCTGTAAAGAGGCAGATCTAAGCAGGTCTGGTACAATCACTAGATTTAGCTACGTAGGTTGAATTACCTACATAGCTTTATTTACCTACCTGAAGTAGCTTTATTTAGCTACTACATCAAGCTTATTTCTTAAATTAGCATTTTTTTCCAGAAAGTGCAGAAAATGGCACTTTGATGCAGTGATAATTTTCAACTTTGAACTCATCTGAAAACAATTCATGAAAAAATCACTCTTGGAGATGTGTCTTTTTCTGCGCAATTGCAATCAAAGTTCTTAAAGTTTTGGGGCTATATACAACAGTTAATTTGTGACCTGACAGTAGTGATGGGAAATCGGAAAAAAATCATAATCGATTATCGGTAATAATCGGTTGTGCATAATCGATTAATAATCGATTATAATCGAATTTTTACCTTTAATGAAATAAATATTTAAAAAAGTTAAACTTATTCAGATTTAAGTTCAGACTTTTACAAAAAATATTCATAAATATTATTTTCCTTTTTATAAACTGGAAAATAAGAATTAATTTCTTTACTTTTAATTAAAAAATCTCATTAAAATATTATGAACTGGCATTTATTTAAAAAGAATTCTATTGAATGGGAATATTACTTATATTAGTCCCACCTTGCATTACATGTATTTATTTCTTGGAATTACGAGTTTCGAAAGTAGTTATTAAGAATTTGAACTTCTATTTCCTAATTATAATTACGTTTACAGATCGTCTGTACTGTTAACGTTTTCCTGTGTGTAGAAAACCTCGTAATATCATCCGTTTTCTGTTATTAGACTGACCCTATATTCAATCATGGCGGTGAAAATATCAACATGGCATGGATACCTTCGATATTTTAAACATTCATCACTACTTTGAAACTCTTAGCACGAGGATTTGGTTATAAAATTAAAGAATAAAAATATTATTTTTTGGCAGCGCTGTCGGCGACATATATTTTGTAATCGATTAGTAGCATCGAAGAGCTTCTAACGACCGACAACCGATCGTCGGCGACAATCGGTACATCACTACCTGACAGTTACTTCTTGAGTGAAATAACAAAGAAAACCAGTTTTGGTTAACATGAGCACAATGTGAAGTAATCATACTTATCCACGCCTCATCGCACACAAGGTGGTGTACAGCTACTCAAACTAGCATTTCTACTGAACGCTAGGGGGAGGCAAAGAACGATAACTCTAAATCAGCGGAAGTTGTGTCCTGTTGATATTTATTTGCTCGTGAGTTGACAAGCAATACACCAGGTCGCGAATTCTAGTTGTAACACTTCCCTGGTGTATGACATTGTCCGAACAAGGTAAATATAATTTCTGTAGGTTCAAAGAAAGCTATTTTTACTAAGATTTAATCAATTACAACTTGAAATGTTAACAAAAATCAATTTAAACGTGTTATGAATTCATCAAACAGAAAAAAAATTATTTGCAAAGGTATTTCTGCCTGCTTCAAGTTGCATCACCGATTAAAAGTTGCCAAATATAATTAGATATTTTTATGCAAAATCGCAATTTGAACAGAGGAAGCAATTTTTGTCACTCATTTTTTAAGTATACTGAAGCAGTGATTTGGTGTTTGATTACCTCCCTGTTGTTTATAGTTTTTTTCTATATACGTAACATATTTTCACGTTAGGTATGTTCTTTGCATTTTCATTACTTTAATTAATGGCAACATCTGCTTATGAATAAAATCATATATAGTGAATAAGTTTATTTTAAATGCACGACATTTTTTGATGTTCTATGTTATGCTATACTAGTACAACAAAACTGATTATAGATAGGAGTTATCCTTCCTAACTGAAAATTCATCTTTGCTGTCAGGTTAGATTATTTCCCGTGAGTCACAGATCGCTGTGTGAGGTAGGCTGTACATATAACTTGATTTTATGAAATCCAGAAGGTACTGAAAAAAATTTCATTTAGAATCTACAGTTATATGGAGACAGAGTAATGAAAAATGACATTTGACCTTAAAATCTTTCATTTTAATTTTTAGGAAGAAGTGCTACTCAAACAATGGAAATACATATTTTCCTTAAAAGTGTTCAAATGCAGCAATGTTAAAACTATCTCTGCTTTAGATTGCTTTTTAAATAATACGTAGAATAAATATTAGTCGCATTTACTTGCGACTTTTTGTCTTTTTAAAATAAAATGCAAAATTATGAAAAGTTGCCTTGAAATAGCTAAATAAAGCTACTTGAGGTAGGTAAATAAAGCTATAGTTAGTAATTTTAGCTACATAGCTAAATTTACTGATTGTACTGGAACTGCTAATTACTAAATTGAATACAAAATATAAATATATATACACAACTGCACTCGCCCTAACGGTCGCACCGTCAACATCTTTATTTAGAATGAGTATGATGAGTAATAAAATAATTCAAAAACATGCATGAAAAAGCAAAGTAGTAATTTTGTCTTACCCATTTCAGCACCTACAAAAGAAATAATTTATTTCAGTTTAAGCCACTTAGTGTTCAAATCATATCTTTTCCACGTAATCACACAAAATACAAATTATTAGTATGAGAGGTAATTAAATCAGAGACTCTCTCTCTCTCTCAGACATCATTTTCTAAACAAAACAAAATGGCTGACAAAACGTTGCTTGCACGCAGGCCCTATAATTTTAAGAAATATATTTCCAGACTGATATCTGTACATACCATATTTGACATCACATCTTGCTAACCGTCCGTATGGTTCAAAAACGTCTTCTAAATGCCGAGGTTGAGTGTTTTTACTGAGTCTTCCAATGAACAAACTGCCCTCTCCTCTGCGCGACATTTTGAGTTTGAGGTGTTATTTTCGAATCCAGATAGAAAAGTTTTCTTCGGATATTTACGAACCTACCACACCATGTATACGAATGGAACACGTGTACATGTATGTGTGTGCATATATAATTTTTCTCTCTCTAACATCTAGAATTGTTTTTTTTAAATATACACAAATCGGTCCATAAAGAAAATGATACATTTTTAATTTTCAAGCATATCATGCCGAGAAAGCCTTAGCAGTTTTTATTTGGGCGAACTCATATAGTAGTTGGGCATTTAGCCACTAGGCTCTATATTACTAGAAACTTTTAATTACTTAAATTTGCAATTTACGCTTATCACTTCCCCTAAGAGTTGAGGGGTGGATCCTTGACATTACAGGTTTTAGATAAATTTTTTTTACAATATTGTGAACTTCATTTTAACTAGATATACATGCATGTATTTCATTTTTTTTTTTTTTTTTTTTTGAATTTCATGATAGGTTCAAAATGCCATATTTGATATATTTAGATGTAATGAATAATGAAAATCGTTTTCCAAAGAATGTCTTTACCTTTGTACTTTGCTTGTAAAACCTAAATAATCATTCTATGTTATTTTTATATGTTTTACACAGCTTGCATTTGAAAAGTAAGATATTTTGTATACATGTACTTATTCACTCTAGATAAAACACTTAATTTTCGAAGCAACTAGTTTTTGCTTTAAATTTGAAAAGAATTATACCACGTATAAACTCAGTAAGCATTTCATCTGTCTACAAAGTACATCCTTTTTTCCGATTTCTAATATATTCGTTAAAAGCTGAGAAAAGTCCACAATAAAAATATGACAAAAGCATTTTGCAAAATCCAGTATAGATCTGTTGTTTCAAGTTCATCACACATAATACAGAGCTTCCTTTCAGCGTTACAGAAAGCCTTTAAGCTTTCCTTTCCCTTGACATCATGGCTGTGTTATATATATATATATATATATATATATATATATATATATATATATATATATATATATATATATATATATATATATATATATATATACTCAATTTATTTGCTATTCTCTTAATCCGTGATGCTTTAGCGGCTAAAATTTACTTTCAGTAGGCACGTGCACCGTAATTCTTAGCCCACCTTTCTCGATGCTTTCACTCAATGCTTTTCTTGTATAATCTATCATGTAAATTGTTTTTCAAAATGAAGTTATAGTTATATTTCAAAATATACGAGTTATATATATATATATATATATATATATATATATATATATATATATATATATATATATATATATATATATATATATATATATATATATATATATATATATATATATATATATATAATTTAATAAATGCGATATTGCTAAGGTGTTTATTATAGTACACTTTCCTAAAAATTACTCTCCAAACTCTTATTTAAATTTTTGTAACATTAATTGACAAATGCAGACTCCTGGAGATTAAATACAACTAACACATGCCAAGAAAAAGTACGCATTCCAGTTTTAGAGCGAACTCAATAAAAGCGGAATTAGCGTTAATCTGTGATTTTTCCCCAGGGAGATGTGTGCGAGGCAATTAATGTCAGCAGTCTTGAGGGAAGGATCTTAAGTTTTAATGGTTTTAAATTAAAGCTAGAATACTTATTATTTAGAAGCCTTTACACCTTTTTCTCGTCCTTTTTTTTTGGGGGGGGGGGTCCATGCAAATCATATGCGGTTAAAAAAGTAAAATAGAAGAAAAAGAAAGTAAAATAGATTATAGTAAACTAATTAATTGTTCAGTAAAAATTAGACGCCTTTCAAATTTTTCAGTGTTTCCATATCAAAATATTTTTTTCCTAGTATAAATTAACATCGGGCACGATGAACTTGGTTGTTGTGGAAGTCTCGCGCCTTATTTGTACCGGTAACTGACCAATGAAAATGAACTTAGTGAATTGTAGTTCCATACATATAAAATTATTATTTTTTCCTTTTGAATTTTTTTTTTATTTCCTTCCAGTCTAATTTTACAATTTTACAATTTTGGTACCTGTGTCTAGTGCATTTTACATATTTTGTAAACAAATAAAGGTTTTTAACAGGAACTATTTTTTTTCAGGGCATAGGAGGCTACTTCTTTTGAATTCTTATTTTTGTAAAAAAAAAAAAAAAAAAAAAAAAAAAAAAGTAATGAACTATTTCATATTGGAATAAGAAAATACAATATAATACATTATCAGTTAAGGAACAATGCAAGTAATTTGAAGGCAGACTTACATAGTCAATGTTTATCAGAAACACCAATGTGTGAACACTGTATTGATTCTGTTGAAGATGCTTATCATTACTTTTTCGCTTGTTCAAAATATACATCTTATAGAGATAAACTTTTTCAAAGAATTCAAAATATTACTGATTGTAATCAGGTTTCTGAACTGAAATTATTATTATGTGATAGTCCTGATCATGGACTCAATATTAATATACAAATTTTTGAAGCAGTACATGCATATATAGCAGCAACAAAACGTTTTACTTGAACACTGTCATTTAAATGTATATATAACTTTTGTCAATTTTTCCAAACCGGTACTTCATTGTATTTTTTTCCCGTTCTTTTTCCTCGCATTTTTTAAAAATGTTTGTTCATATGCAGTGTACGTATTTACCTTGACCTTGCTGTAGGGAGAGGGCTAAAATAGGCTATGCCTGCTGCCTAATCCCATTCACTTTATGTGAATGAAATTACATGTATGTATAAATAAAAAAAAAAATAGGAGGCTACTTCCTGGGGTAGAAGTTTATTTATTTTTTTTTACTAAGAAAACGGAAAATTTAGGATCCACCCCCTCAAATCTGCTGCCGTTAATTGTCTCGTCAGCGTTAGGGGAATATGGGTGATTTGCATCAATAACACTTTTATTGACTCCATCGCTGTGGAAAAATGGACGGGATTTCTTGGCATGGTCAGAAAAATTGTGTAGATACATGTATAAGATCATTGGCCTTGTCATGATTTGCTCTTTTTAGGAGCGTTTTTTTTTTTAATTTCTAATTATTTGTGCATAAATGATTTTAGAGAGTGTTACTTTTATCTATTTTTTATGGTATTCTGCAGATTTCATGCATTTCGCTCGACACAGTAAATCAACATTAAGTCATTTTCTGTCCAAATATATTATTTCAAAAGAATTTGATACATTGGCAATGAAATTCAAACAAACAGAAGCACGGAAAGGGGGGGGGGGGAGAGGAGGGGATGTCTTTTACCGTGAGTTTCGTTTTCATATGTGTATATAAGAGATCCGGTTAAACAGTTAAAGGCATTCCGTTTTTCATGTAGAATCATATACTCTACTAAAGCCTGAATATTTTCTATAATCTTTCTTTAAAAAAAAAAATTTCACAGCTGTTTTACAATTACATGTACCACATACAAGTGTATTTGTAGATTTATTTACAGTGGGTTAGAAATGATCATAAAAAGGTTTTTTTTAGGTTATTTTTCGGATTGATAGTATGGATTAGATCACAAATATTTCATTAAAAGATAATTCATCAGAAAAAGAAAGGCCAGGAGGTCTATAATTGGGGGGGGGGGGGGTCCTGAAACACCTGTGGTTGTTAGTCAAACATATAATTATATACATTGTGTATATACATGTACATTGTATATGACACGTTACAAAATATCATTTGCTTTCGGGTTAAAACATTCTATGATATATTTTGTAGATACAAGGTTATGCAAAAAGGTTGTTTGTTTTTTGTTTTTTTTTTAATTTAAAATATTATGAAGTAATTATTTACCACTAAATGGAAAGCTTAACAAGCAATTTAGAAAATGATAGCTAGTACATCTAGCGTGCCCGGCAGTTGTTTTTATGACTGATTTCCGTATTTATCCGATTAATAGTAACTGATAATTTTCTATACTTTTTTTGAGGGGGGGGGGGAGAGAGAGAAGAGAATACAAAAATTTAAATATAATTGTCCATTGACATATCATTGAAAAAGCAAAAACAACTAATGCTATCTTATATACCGTGTATACCGTCGGGAACGCAGTTTTGTGGTTTTTCATTCGAAATAAAGCCTCTAGCTTTACATATCACTTAAGCATGCGCAGAAATTGTGTACACGTTTGACAGATACAACCATACATCATACGATCATCTTCTTTGAAATGGGTAGATAAATAATTTTCTTTATATTTATGCAAACGTCAAAGAAAATTGTAATTCATTTATTACCTACAACCCAGCATATTTGATTTATGTATGCTTTGTTCTTAGCTACTATGTAACCCGAATTATCTCTTGAAGGTAGACAACTCCCCGATTCCCTTGTCCTTGGACTTTTTACATTTATCGATATATATGTACAGTTGAACAGAATAGCATCATACTTGTCAGGCACATTGAATTCAAATAACAGATATAAAATATTGACGGTGTTAATGTAGTTAGAGTAATATGTGTCTCGTGACAAGCTCCCTACCACGGAAAAAAGTCTTATATTTAAGAAAATGAGGTATCATTTTTTAACATCTCTTGAGATATAAATACGGGTTGGTCACGTGATCAAATTCCATGAAGCCGAAATCAGGCTTTATGGAATTTGATCGTGCGACCAACCCATATTTATATCCCGATAGATGTTTAAAAATGATACCTTATTACTTACAAATTAGTTAGAATAATCTAACTGTGTCTTGGGACAAGCCCTCACCACAGTTAGAATACGTCCCATGTACTTGCAATGTAGCAAATCGGAGTGGATCCACTCCGAAATGATTTTGAAGTATACAATAGGAGTTGCACTGAGAATAACTACCAAATTAATCATAACAAACCTTTCTGAGATTGTATATGCCTTTTAACCGAAAAAATAATCCATATAAAGACGAAACTCAACTCATTTTCTCAACCTTTTTTTTTTTTCGCTTCAAATTTACATGCCATGTTGACATTCGGAACTCTCTGGATTGATCATAATAAAAGCACTGAGTTCGAGTTATCACCCATGTTTATTTCGCTACATTGCAAATACACGGAACGAATTCTATCGTTAAACCAGGTCTGTAGGACAATATCATTTTAACGATAGAACGTTCTCTCTACTTAGAAATGTATGTTTACATTTGTGACTTCTTTATAATATATATTTGCCTTAGGCATGTTAGGATAATCTTTAATGCATGAAATGTTTTGTTTTTCAAAACTCAACTACACAAGTTTGATCCATTATGATGTCACTAAGAAACTACGTCGAACATTTATGACATGAGGAACCTGTGTTTATACAGTTATAGATACACATTGCTTAAATAGTGTTATATAAAAGAAAACATTTGCAAATGTAAATAGTTGCATTATAGCAAAACGGAGAAGGGTCATGTTAAATTTCCTACATTGACAACACACGATACGAATTTTATTAAACCGTTTGGGTCTATAGGACAATGTCAGTTTTAACTAATGAACCTTCTGTCTGGGTGTGACCCTTGATGCAAGCACAGAACTTTATGTGTAATTCTGGGTTTAGTGGTTGCAGATTATAGTTTTTGATTGACATGATTTTAGCAAGAGTTATTTCCTGTTGGTCATCATATTGGAAGTATACATGCCCGAATTCCTTCATTATTCAACCAATTTAAACTTGTCATACTGGGCAAATGGGAGAAGATAGCACAATTTTTCTTACAAATTTATGTTAACACAAGCTTCCTTTAATTTGTAAGTTTAGTATTTTGAAGATTTTTGCCCTTTTACTTCTGCCATACAAGTTTAAAATTGGTTGCTCAAAGAGGAAAATTCGCTCGTTTGACCTCCAATATGGCGGCCAATGGGAAATAACTCTTGCTAAATTCAGGCCTGTCAAAAACTATCTATTTGCACTCCAGATTACTCTCGTGTGTAATTCATTAGAAAAAAAAAATTATCAATGTATATTTCATACATGAAGAATGGGATAATATTATATTTCCAAGAAAAATATCAAACTTAACTTGGATGATTTTATTATGTTGACAGTGCAACAGTTAGGGTGAGTGCAGATACATGTGCTTACTCAGTTTCAATTAAGATCCATTCTTCAAACTGCACAGGACATTTGGTACATCTAAATGTAAAATAATCTGTACAAATTGCTTAGGAACACAAGCATCCAGATGAATTAAGCCCAACTGTACTAAACTAGAAATATCATCGCTTGTGTTCCCGAGAAAATTGTCTGGATTTAAAGAAGGGTCTGAATTACTAAAACAGACGTGGTATATATAAATATAAATTGTTCCTCACAAATTTCGTCTGGAAGTTGAAACGTTGGGATAAATGATATGATTTAGTTCAACAGAGCAAATGTACCAAGGAAGTTTGAAGAGATTTGATCTGTTCAGTTATTTTAACATGGCTGAGAGGTTGAAAGAAGAAAAAAACCCAGAATTTTGGACAATGCCATTAAAAATTGGGGGAAAAAAACAGATGTTTTCTTTAATGCACTGACTGACAAATGTATGACATCACCCACAAAGATATGTTATGTACACCAATGATATGGTAGAGAGATTCCATAATATTCTTTTTTTGTAACTCTTTAAAGGTAAGTTGTTTGCTATTCTGTAGCAACCAAATTGCTACAGTGCTCACAAAGAAGATTAGGAGTTTCTCAAATTTTTTTGAATAGTGTGTTGTGTAGATTTGAATAGAATTCAAATTTCCTGTTGGGTCACATTGTCAGTAGAGCGTGCCATGCAGGAGGCACTTTGTGTTGCTCAATGCCCTTGCTTAATATTAATTCCTTATGATTACATGTGTGTTAACAATCTGTTGTAATAAATTTTAGAAAGTTAACATGGTTAACATGGTAAATCCTTACCACCTTTACCCCAAACCATCTGAATTAACAAGCCCAGAAGTACTGCAAAATGTATAATCAAAACCAAGTGTGACATTATCGTAGGTGAAAAGCAGTAAGACCATTATTTCTTTCTCATATTTTATTAATTTTGAACATTATTAAGGAGGGATTCTTGTCTGGTTTCTGATAAGGTGAAATATTCAAAGTATATTTGCTTATATGTCTTATATATTTACATGTAAGTGATTTAAGAAATCATCATAGTTGTACAACTTTAAATAGAAATGGTAAACTAAGTTTGAAATATAGCAGGGACTATATTTTTTGCGGAACAACGGCGTATGAAAAAAATCTCCTTTTCTGCTTCTCAAAATTACCATAGAACAATGAATTTAATTATAAAATTTTAAACAATCAAAGATTTTAAAAAAGTCGGTGTAAGTAAAATTAATAATAAAGGACTGAAGTTTTAAAATAAATTAAATAAATATGATTTTCCAAACAAATTAAAATTTTATTAGTCTTTAAAAGCTTCCAATCTAAGTACAGATTTGAGCAAAAAATCTGTAAAAAGTGTTTTTTCTCCTTTAGTAAACAGTCAAAACTTTTTGTTTTTGTATCAATTTGTATCTTTGTATGATTCCTTTACCATATGTAAAAATAAGAAAAATTTAAATATAGGAAGCATATGAAAATAACTAAAATATCCTAAAAATGTAGGAAAAATAGAGGAAATTCAGATTAGCCAAAATCTCTTTTAGTAGAATTATATGTCGATTTGGTAGTATCATCTGAAAGACCCTTTATGGTAATACCTTTATACGCAAAACAAAAAACATTTAAACTTGAAATTGAAGTAGGCATCTCATGATTGACAACAGTATTTTTTAAAATTTTTAATGTGAAGGATAAAGATATGACCTTGACCTGACCTTGGTTCTAAAATAAAATGGTCAAATTTAATCTAACTGATACCATCACTTAGTGATTATGTCTTCTTGAATCTCTGGAAATTTCATCAATTTTTAAATACAAGAAATATGAGAAGAATCCCTCCTTAAACTGCAGCTGTAATCATTACTTGACCTGTGACAGAAACAGTCTACTATTTTTTTTCTTTTTTTTTTTTACAATGTTCATTGTGCTTTGATCACTTTGACTGACAATTCACTGGTGATATGGAGGGTAGAACATCAGTTCCAGACCAAATTATTTTTGTTAGAATCTTTATTCTTTAGAATGAATCATCAGAAGCATTTAATAAAGGGACCACCAGAATTTGTTTTTGCATCATAGTGTTGCTTACATTAATTGAAGTTATCTAGTTGACTATCTAGTGAAGCCAAATCAACATCGATCTGTACAGTATTTCTGCATGTTTTTACAAATTAGGCATATTTCATGAAGCAAGTTTACAATTTTTTTTTTCCAAAGAAGTAGGGGTGAAACAATTTGACACTAAAATGTAGAATCCATTTATCATGTTTATTGTCTGAGTTTGTATATCTGTGAAAATGGCTACTTTGAACATATAAATATACATGTAGTAAAGTAGAAAGTAATAGTAAAAATTACTGACTGGTTTATGCATTAACAGGTGGTATATGGAGTTACTTTTCTGGACTATTTGGATCAAGAGAGAGGAGGATTCTGATTTTGGGGTTGGATGGTGCAGGAAAAACTACTATTCTATACAAATTACAAGTGGGAGAAGTTGTCACTACAATTCCAAGTAAGTTGGAAAGAAATCATCTTGACTTCTTTTATGTTTTGAAAAAATCTTTGACAAATATTCCTTAAATCTCCACCTTTAATACAATATGTTTTATGAAGGCCATGCATTAATGATTAACACAAACTCTAGGATGTGTTGATCTTCAAGTTATTCAATGAATTCAGCATGTTCATAGCCTTAAATAAGCTAAGATATATATATGCAACTAAAAATACCCTATAATACTGTTTGTTTGTTTATGAATTTAGCTATTGGATTTAATGTGGAGACAGTACAGTACAAGAACTTGAAATTCCAGGTCTGGGATCTGGGAGGACAAACAAGTATTAGGTAAGTTACTATTACGTAAGTAACTATTAGATAAGTTGCTTTTAGATAAGTTGCTATTAAATAAGTTGCTATTAGTTAAGTTGCTATAAGATAAGTTGCTTTTAGATAAGTTACTATTAGGTAAGTTACTATTAGGTACATGTAAGTTACTATTAGGTACATTGTAAGTTACAAAGTAACTTAATAAATTGAATCTTGACAGTTGTGTGCTCCTGTTTTGATACCAGGTATTTGCCTTGATTATAGCTAAAGTTTAGTTTTCTTGGAGCCTTTTACAGTCACATAAAAAGAACATCAAATGGGATCATTGCATTCATATTATGGAACCGTGTAGACTAACCTGACTCAAGTCTTAGTATTGAACAGATAACACTGTTGAATGAGTAAACTGTGCTGTGGTTATTTGCAAGGAGATCTATGCAATCGAAGCACCAAATAGTTGATGACCCTACTTTTGCACTAAATTTTATGCTAAGATGCACATTATACTATACGGTATACTGCAACATGAATATGCTTGATACAAATGATTTATTATGTTAGCAAGTAATCCATAATAGGATTTAATACTTTTTTTTATTTTGAGTTATCTTTCCTGTTTCATGTTTGTTTCAGGCCATATTGGAGATGTTATTATTCCAATACAGATGCTATCATATATGTAGTAGACAGCATGGATAGAGAAAGAATGGGAATATCCAAACAAGAATTATTTTCAATGTTAGAGGTAAGGTCCATCTCAGATATATTATCTCAGTTTCTCTGCTGTCAAAATCAAGAAAATAAAAGACAGATGAAATGTGATTTTGTGAAAAAATATGTTTGTGCACTCTTTATAAGAAATATCTTTCAGAATATATACCTTTTTTTGTATAAAGACTTGTACAGAATTATATGCAACAGTCTAAAGAAGTAGCATCCGTTTTCTTAACAGCAGTTATTTCTGGCTTAACTATCATTGCAGAAATCCAAAGTTTTTGCATTCATTCTAAAAAATGGTGTAAATATGCATGCTACAGCTAATTCTTCTTTAAATATTTTTTCACTGTTTTTACAGGAAGATGAGTTAAAGAAAGCTGTCTTAGTAATATTTGCTAACAAACAAGACATTGAAGGAGCCATGACACCCAGCGAGGTAGCTAGTGCATTAGGCCTGACTTCAATTACAACACATAAATACCAAATCTTCAAAACATCAGCCATTAAAGGCACAGGACTAGACGAGGCTATGGAATGGTAGGTCCAAAATAAAACACTGCTTGCTTGTAATTGATTGTAATGTACATAAACTAAACGTGGAGATTTTTCTGTTGATTAGAAAAGTTCTGTGGTTTCATCATCAAACACAAATTTTCGTTGTTTTCATAGTAGAACTGAACCATGAAATTAGGTGATCAACAAACTACATTTTTAGCTCTACTGGTCAGAGACCAGAAGAGCTTATGCGATAGTAAGGTGTCCGTCGTCCGTCCGTCTGTCTGTCTGTCTGTCTGTCTGTCTGTCCGTCTGTCTGTAAACAATTTTTCAAAACGCTACTCCTCCTACAGTTTTGGTCCGATTTCAATATAACTTGGCACACAAGTAGACTATACTAAGATACATAATTTAGTGCATCGGTTTTTGATTTCGATGGACGGTGTTGCCATGGTTACTAAAAATAGAAATTTCTGTGAAATTCCTTTAAAACGCTACTCCTCCTACAGTTTTGGTCCGATTTCAATATAACTTGGCACACAAGTAGACTACACTAAGATACATAATTTAGTGCATCGGTTTTTGATTTTGATGGATGGTGTTGCCATGGTTGCTAAAAATAGAAATTTCTGTGAAATTCCTTTAAAACGCTACTCCTCCTACAGTTTTGGTCCGATTTCAATATAACTTGGCACACAAGTAGACTACACTAAGATACATAATTTAGTGCATCGGTTTTTGATTTTGGTGGACGGTGTTGCCATGGTTACTAAAAATAGAAATTTCTGTGAAATTCCTTTAAAACGCTACTCCTCCTACAGTTTTGGTCCGATTTCAATATAACTTGGCACACAAGTAGACTACACTAAGATACATAATTTAGTGGATCGGTTTTTGATTTCGATGGACGGTGTTGCCATGGTTACTAAAAATAGAAATTTCTGTGAAATTCCTTTAAAACGCTACTCCTCCTACAGTTTTGGTCCGATTTCAATATAACTTGGCTTACAAGTAGACAACACTAAGATACATAATTTAGTGCATCGGTTTTTGAATTCAATGGACAGTGTTGCCATGGTTACTAAAAATAGAAATTTCTGTGAAATTCCTTTAAAAAACTACTCCTGCTACAGTTTTAGTCTACTTCTAATATAATTAGGCATACAAGAAGACTATACTAAGATACATAATTTATTGCATTGGTTTTTGAATTCGATGAAGAGTGTTGCCATGGTTACTTAAAATAGAAATTTTTGTGAAATTCCCATTAAACGTTACTCCTCCTACAATTTTGGTCTGATTTCAATCTAATTTGGCACACAGTTAGAATACACTACAATACATAATATGTATTTCTGTTTTTTTATTTGAGTGAATGGTCATGGTTACTAAAAATAGAAATTTCCGTGAAATACTTTCAAAACGCTACTCCTCCTACAGTTTTCATTTGATTTCAATATAACTTGGCACAGAAGTAGACTACATTAAGATACATAATTCTAATTATTGTTGCATGTTGCAATGTTTCAAATCCAAGTGCTACTTTTCTTTTGTTATACAAACAGACCAGTAGAGCTACAGTCTCATCAGAGACTTCTGGTTACTTGTGATAAAATAGAAGTCCATAATTTTTTTTTTTTTTGGCCAGTCATGAAATTTGAACACAACACCCCCCCCCCCCCCCCCCCCCCCCCCCCGAAAAATGAATCATAATAGTTTAGTTATGATATAGTGACCATTTGTTTGTTACAAAGTAGAATTTATCCTAGGAACAATAAAATTGAGTTTTCCTTCTCTTGAGCATTCATATTTTGCCATAACTGCAATTTAAAATTACCTGTTTTAGAATTGCATATAACACGAGGACATTGTCTTCTTTTCATATCCACTTTGTCTAAATTAAAACTCTTACTTAACACATGTAGTTTTCATGCTTACAATTAAGACTTTGTAATGATTGCATACATTTCTTATTTATAGAAGTTTTTAGAGAAGGTTTTGGTATACATGTATTAACAATGCATCAAAAAATATAAACTTTAATTAATATTAAGCCAAGTTTTCAGATTTGTTAGCACTTTGAAAAAAAACTGTTTGTATGAGGACCTTTCCTTAAATAGATTATGTTATTGATTTAGGTGAAACTGAAATGGGGAATTCATATATAGAAGAAGGACTAGTATTATTATCTTTTTATACACAATATTTTATTAATATCATGATAATAGAGTGATTGTCACAAACAACAAATCGTAGATGATGAATGTTTATAACATCCTTCCTGCAGACATCCAGCCAGCCTGTAAATTACCCAGTAGATCTCACAATGAGACAGGCTGATTTCTGTTGGAGATTACTTCCTTAAGATGGGGGGTCACTAGCCTCAGTAAATACTGTATTTAGAGATGGTCACTCTCAAGGAAATAGCACATGGCCTTTGATTGGTCTTTATTATTGGTTACCCATTGATTTCATGGCAATAAAACTGTTCACTGGAAAAATGCTCAATTAGTCTCTCATTAGTGCACATGAGCAGTTGATGATACAGGCAATTTAGGGATGTGCAAGCATTTCTATATTAAGTCTGGAATGCAAGATGGATAGCTTAAATGATAAATTGTTTGTTATTGGAAATAATAAATCCAAAGCATTTCAGAATGTAGTCTTGTTTCTTCAAACAGCAGATTATGCTAAGATTGATGAATGGCAAGGTACTACTGATTGACAGTTCATTATTATCTGTAGTATAATAAATTAATTGGGATTGTTAAAGCTTGATATGGAAGTATTATTATGTGCAAACGTCATGGTTATGTACACATTATACAAGATTAAGATTTTTTTTAAGTGTCACCTTAGTCATGACATCCATCACATATTTTGTTGTATAATTGAGGGCACACTTTCATTTACTACAAATCACTTTCTGTGAAATTTATTTTTGCTTAATAATGAGAGACTATCTGCTCCAGAAATTTCATTTTCACATATATTTGTATAAATACAATGTAATTACTTAAGATTATATACAACAATAACCCTAATTTGTGAATTTTGACTTTCTTTAAATGGCAAATAGCTATCTCTCAAAAATAAAGTGTCACACAAATTTAATCTACTCATAAAGAAATACTTTTAGTTTGTTAAATATCATTTGTGTGAAATTACATGGAGATCTGCATCCTGATGAGATAGAATGTTGAATAAAGGTGAAGATCACATAAAGGTTCAAGGTCACATCAGTCAAAATACACTGTACACATACAGCTTAGCCACTTTTGATTTTGATATTGAAAGAAAAATTATGAATCTGAAAATAGTAACATTTTAATTTTTTACAGGCTTGCAAATACTCTAACTCAGCAGAAATAAATTAAAAAAAAAAATGAAGAATTCCAAGGATAGAAGATGTCCTCCAAAAATTGACTGAAGTGGAAAAAAAGTTTCACATCTCTTGCAACATGAACAACAAACCGTGCAACATTATCTCTGTGGGTTTTTAATGCAGATTGTATATTTCTGTGCTATGTATTGTTATATGACAATATTGTGGAATGACAGTGATTCAGTGACCAAGCAGCATCAAGCCTAAATGTTCAGTGGTATCCTTTCCATGTTGCTGCAAGATGTGTGGGGGATTTCTGGTTTGTAGTAAACATTACACTGTGAATTATATTTTATGTTACATTTTTCATATTTATTTGTGTGGATGTTGAATGAATGGAAATTACCATGAATGGAAATGCATTATTGTCATATTTTTTTCAATAAACTTAAACCTAGCATATTTAAGAATTATGTACATGGATATCATTCCTCAAATTGCTTTTTACTTAAAGTATATTTAAACATTATTCCTTTGAACCAGCTTTTTTTAAAGATATATAATTTAAGAAAGATACATGTACATAAAACATGTATTAAAATTGCTGTAAAAGGAAGATTCCCACTTTATTTGGACTTACAAGCAAAAGGAATTTTTGTACCAATATTCATGATTGGTAATCTTTATTTCACTTTGCACAAGTGACCTTGCACTGAAGCAGGAAAAAAAAAACCTCTTCAAGGGTGAGATAGAGCTGTGTTAAAATTCTGTCATTTACACTGAAAAGGATTAAATTGGATGCTTGGATCAGCTTTAAAAACATAACAGTAGCACCTCTTTAAACTGCTTTAATTTAAAGCGCATTAGTATTTCTTTTTAAACATCTATTTTCTAGATGTCAGGAAGTTGTTAAGGATTGACAGTCCATAGTTTAGGAATTCCATTACCCTCTTATTTATACCAGTCTTTATATTAAGTTTGCCAGGAAATGCATGCGTTTTTCAATTCAGTCGAATTCAATTAACTTTGATGGCTCGTACAGCTGTCGGAAATTTAACAGTAAATTAAAGTTGCATTGCCTTATCAATGTTAATAAGGTTTCTTTCAGAATTCTTTGTACATGCAGAACAGGATACGTATAACAGTATAAAAAGGTTGATGAATTGACATGGCCGTCCGGACTATTTAGATCCGAGATAAAAATGGTTTTGAAATGAGATTTTATCAGTTTATTTTGAGATTCAATAGGCTCCGTCAAGAAAAAAAATTAATTTTTTCTGTAAGCGATTCGGACATTAGGGTGAATCGGAGTACGTCTAGCTACATGTTCGCCACTAATAGAGAGCGAAAGAAAAATGCATTTAAAGACAAACTTTATTAATTTCACGTCACTTTATTGCAGATTTATATCTATCGTTTCTGAACTGTTGAAAGTTGGAAATATTTACCTGTATCTAACTGTATTCCAAATTGTGTTTTGGAATTGTTTATTCTTTAAAGTCCATGTACAATAAAATATAGACGAACAGTATTCAAGTTCAAAGTCAATTTAAACATTTAGATTGGGAACAGAGCAAAGGCAGACCTCCAAAAACAGAGGCGGGATCAGTTGCCATTGAGGTATTCAAGTTCAAAGTCAATTTAAACATTTAGATTGGGAACAGAGCAAAGGCAGACCTCCAAAAACAGAGGCGGGATCAGTTGCCATTGAGGAGTGAGTTTCCCTTGCCGACCGGTCAATCCCGCCGTGTGCTCCTTGTCATGATAGGGGAAAAACGAAAAAAAAATCCGTAGATAGTTCAGTGTGTAAATAATAGCCTAACAACTAGTATGAAGAAGTCAGTCAGCATTTGACAATGAAAGGTTGTATTTGCTTACAAGGCCATTGTATCGACCATAAACTTGCGAAATGATGGCTTCAAACGAGACCGTTGATATCACTGTTTCATCAGCTTGTTTGTCAATACAGTACTGTAGCTCGCATCGTTTTAGAAATTGTTCATACGCAGAGCATGCTCTTGCGTATCGAATCAACTGGGAGACAAAAACCCCATATGCAGGTGATAAGGGTATATTGCTACATAAGTAAGGGAAGTTGATGATTGAAAAATTGAAGACATCACGTTTATCATAAACTTGGTTGTTAGGTTACCTTTAAAGTCTTCTTCTAGTTAATTATCCAGGTATGAAACAAATGTGTCAGACTCTGAGGTATCTTATTTCAAGCTTACTGGGATATTTCGAGTCGACATATGAATGAGAGTAACTATTGTTAATTGATAATACGTCGTCAATATATCTAAATGTCGAGTTGGAGATTCTTGTGCTACATAAAAGAGATAAATGATCAGGGCTTAGAGGTGCCTCAGTGCTGTTCAATGTATTTCCCCAGCCTTGCTGCTAAACAAAATGGTTACTAGTATCCTGAAAAATCAACTTCATCTTTAATCAGTCAATTGTACTGGCAACAATGACAACTGTATCGCCGCCCTGCACTCTATTGCATTAAAGGACTTTTATCATATATATTTTTTTGTTGTTGTTGAATTTTTGCCATGAATCCATTGCCTCAGATGAGTTATAACTGGAAATATACTGAAAACAATATATTTGTAGCAATATTATGCACTTTTTAAGATCTGCAATTTAAATCTGGCAATCTGTCAATGACATATGCGCGACTCCTTGGAAGGAGTAGTATAAGAAACTGTACGATCTGGGGTGTTTTCATAACGATTTTTTTCACACTTCGGCTTGCTCAAATGTCATACTTTTTTGTAATGATAATTATCATAAATAACAAATATCAAGTATTTACAGTTTTGTCACAAAAACACTATATCGATTTGAAGTTACGTTTTATGTGTCAAAACAATGCTGTCAAATGGTTTTTCAAATTATCTAACATCTAAAAATATACCCTTGCTTCCGAATACATGTAATAGGTTTCAGTTTATTTACATTGCGTATCCAACATTTAAACACTTTATTTTGAAATTCCTAGTAGCTGTTGAAAATTAGCAATTGAAATTAAACGATCAGTAGATGATTCACGTTTTAAGCAGTTTGCAAGATGAATCTATTGATTAACAATCGAAAATGGAGAAATCAAAGTATTTTCTTTTTTAAGTGCTGCATTTAGTAAATGAAAGTTGGAAATTTCAGATACATTTGTATTACTTCCAATATCGAAAAATAAAACATTTATTAATTGGAAATACACAATGATAACAACAAAGCAATTCAAAATAATTAATACTCAACTAGAAAATAAGTAATTAACATTAATTTTTTTTAAAAACCTGTTGGTCCAAGATATAGATATATCAATAACATAGGTACATGTATAATTATTTTTTCAAGATTTAGATGAGGGAATACTAAGCAAGGACTATCCCCCGCTCTGAGACAATATATTTTTCAATTATCAAAGTTCAAAGAAAGGCTATATTTTTCAACAACGACCAGAAAAAAAATACACTAGTATTTTCTCTTTAACGTGATTTGATTCATGTATTTCATTGAATTATTTTTTTTGATTGATGATTTATTTTTAAATTGACAATTAAGCCTATATAGTGGTACATGTAAATGGGTTTATCGTAGCCATAAAAACAGATTTTTGAATATTATGAATGAGTCAAGTCTCCATTCTGCATAAACGTTTAAATGACTGAAAAGTGAGTATAAAATTGAAATTTTCTACGAACTTTGAAATATAGAAATGTCTGATAGCGGTTGATTGTCCTTTGCCCTGTACACCCTCATTCTTTACAATTAACATACTATAAATTTTGTGTATTTACTTTCACCTGGTAAATTCAAAATCAAAAATATTTACAGAACTTGAAATGAAGTCAGTATTAGATAAGGAACTGATTTTGTAGCAACAATACGAAAACCTGCGATACCATATATGTATCATGAAAAAAGGGCACTTGCTGAATAATCATGCGAAATGTGATACAGTTGCAGAGAAGTCACATCCATCTATGAATTTTAGATCCAAGTCAAAAGACTAGATTTTAGTCAAAAGAAATATTGGTAAATAAGGCTACAGGTTTAAAGTAAGGTAACGCAATTCGTACACGACGTATCTCATTAATTTCCATCAATTGATCTTCTAAATGAAATAAATGTGTTTTTCTCTCTCACGAGCAACCATTATACAGTCTTGTCTCTGGATCTAGTAGCAATGTGCTTCCTCTATTTTTAACTAATTGTTCAATGCAATCATCTATTATTACCTACAAAGTTGTCATCAAATAAACACAAATTATTTGCTCATAAAAATCAACGGTTTAATAACCCACAGTTTCCGCTCGTGTATAATTGTTACAGTAGCCCCTAGGAGACGTTCTTCCGGTAGAAGCTTAGAAGTAGAAACTAGTAAAATCTAAAAGGTCAATGTTACAACCATTGGAAATGTTCAGGAGAATTTTACGACTATTATAAAGTGTATTTCGAAGTGGCAATTGTTTTCAATACAGGTATTGTCTTGTCAATCAACAGTTCAATGGCAGTTTCATTTTCGTTTCCCGAGGGAATTATTTTTTTTAAGCGTAAGACTTTTTCATGTCCCGTCATAAATATGGCCAGGACATATTATAGTGTTTGTGCTGCCCGCCTGTCCTTCCTTCCAACCTTTTGTCCTTCGATCCTTCTGTCTGTCCGTCACACTTTCAATGTAACTGATGAAGATATTTTAACCAAAATTCATACACTGGTACATATTGGTGAGTAAAATACGATAGTGGCATTATTTTCTTACTTTGATCTTTCCTTTCACCTGTACCTCAATATTCCCTATTTTGTGTTTAACTTACTCTCTGAGTAACTATTCAAGATATTGTATCAAAACTCAAACACTGATACATACTAAATGGAAAGTTTTAAACAAGTTTCATTAAACTTCATATTAATACAAATTGGTGAGCGCTATTCACCTGCTTCATAATTTTCTGACTTTGACCTTCCCTATGACCTTATCTTCATTTTCAAAATATATTTATTTAAAGTTACGTATTTAGTAAGAGCAATTTTACCTCTGTCATAATTTTCTGACCATGCCTTTCTTTATGACTTTGACCTTCCCATGACCTTAAACTTTTTTTAAATCAAACTTCATAGACTAAGATATAAATTCGTGAGAGCAATTCAGTTGTGTGATTATTTTCTTATCTTGACCTTCCAATGACTCACACCCAACTATTCTTTCATTTTGTAGTTACCTAAGTTTCAAATGTAAAAGGTAAAAATAACGAACAGTGATCAATCTAAAAAAAAAATCGCAAACATTACAAATATGTGAAGAGGGTATAAAACATGGACCCCTGGAAATTCCACGGGAATCAGGGATCAGGTGCCTAGGAGAAGTATAAGCATCCCATGTTGACCGGCCACACCCGCCGTGAGTCCTGTGTATTGATCAGGTAGACGGAACTATCTGTAGTCGATTCAGTACAAAAACAAAGGTCTAACAA